GGCCACAATTTTTTAGTTTTCTTCAGGTATTTACTAAAACATTTTCCAGCTATAGTTCTATAATGGACATGGGCTGAAAGTGCACACTCTTGGGTTTAATTTGAGGGTATGTACATCCAAATTGGATGGAATTACAGCTCTTAAGAATAGCCATTTCAGCACCTGTGCGCAGAATCACGTGTGTACATCAATTTGCATTTCCGGATAGGGGGCGCGCGCCCAGTGCCATTAGTACAGTGTCAGGTTTTTTTTTTTTCACTAATCACTGTATTGGTGTCACTGAGGATGTCAGTGACACAGTAAGTTTCCCCCCCCACCCCGTGTCAGAATGTGCGCTACAGTCCTGCTAAACGTCGCTGATCGCCGCCAATACTAGTAGAAAAAAAACCCTCCCATTATCTATACTGCCATTTTTGTAGACGCTATAACTTTCACGTAAACCAATTAAGTTAGACGCATTGGTTTTTTTGGGGTTTTTTTGCAAAGATATGTCACAGAATATATTTTGGCCTAAATTTTATTTTTATAATTTTTTTTTTTTTTTTTTTTTCTGGACATGTTTAATAGCAAAGTCCAAAATATTTTTTTTTCTCAAATTGTCGCTCATTTTTTTTTTTTTTGCTTATAGCACAAAAAATAAAAATGTAGAGGCAATCAAATACCACCAAAAAAGCTCTATTCGTGAGAGAAAAAAAAAGGACATAAATTTCATTTGGGTGCAGCTTTGTATGACTGCGCAATTGTCAGTTAAAGTAACGCAAAAAAAATGGCCGGGTGAGGAAAGGGGGGAAATTCAAGTGCAGTTAATATTTTGTTGAGAATCCTTTACTGGGGAAGGGGGGGGGGGGGGGGGGGGGGGGGGGGAGTCTATTGTGTGGAGCATCTGTTGTTGCTGGAATGGGGTCCATTGTTGTGTGGGAGATCTATTGTTGCTGGGGTGGGGTCTGTTCAGGGGACCTAATGTTGTTGGGGTGGGGTCCATTGTTGCTGCAGGAATTTATTGTGTGGGGGATCTGCTTGTTGCTGGGGTAGGGTCCATTGTTGCTGGGGGAGTCTATTGTTGCTCCGGTGGGGGTCTGTTGTTGGGACCTATTGGTGCTGGGGGAGTCTATTGTTGTGTGGGTGACCTATTGTTGGTGGGAACCTACTGTTGCTGGGGTGGGGTCTATTTTGCAGGGGATCTATTGTTGGTGGGGTCTATTGTTGTGCAGGGGATCTCTCGTTGCTGGACGGTGGGGTCTATTGTTGTGCAAGGGATCTATGGTTGCTGGGGTGGGATATATTGTTGTGCAGGGGATCTATTGTTGCTGGGGTGGGGTCTATTGTTGTGCAGGGGACCTATTGTTGATAGCTGCAGGGAATCTATTTTAATGCATTTCTTGTTCCCAAATTCCATGCAAATTACTTGGCACCACAAAATGATACTTGGTTCTCTATTCTCAAAATTGGGTGAAATGGAGGTGGGTAGGGGGTGGAATCAAGGGACAGTGCTCAGGAGTGGGTAGGGGGGACCGAGATGGGGAAGTTCCATCACCTATTCTGAGGGGGGGGGGAAGAAAATGCCCTGCACAGCACTATTTGTATTCTGCTGACGGGGGCGCGGGGAGTCTTCCCAACCAGCAGAACACCGCTGTAGCTGCATGCAGTAATCTAATGCTAACAATCTGACAAGCTGATTGTACCCAAGTTGATCCAATCAGCCTGCCCATAGATCGATCGAATCTCGGACAGTCCTCGCTGAACTGGCTGAGACTTGATCCATCTACGGCCGGCTTATCTGAGCTCTGAGGAAAAGGGGCGTGTCCCCCGAAACACATCAACAGGCTAACCGCACCACCAGTCGGACACTCTGCCATCACTTTGGGCCATCCCTGTGGCCTCACGGGCTTTTTAGGCACTTTATTTTGTGTGTTTTTTGTCTTTTTAAATATTTAATAAACCTTGGATAATGCACTAGGTGTTTGCGCCACTTGTCTACTTCTTTTTTTTTTTTTTTTTTTTTTTTCTATACCTGACATACAGTACTGTTTAGCATGAGCTTGCCCTTTAAGTCTGAACAGTGGGACAAGTTTGGACAACTCAATGGATTCTCGGCTGCAGAACTGTCACACTGTCAGGTCCCAGCATGTACTGTTCACTTTTGAGAATGTTTGTTTTTAGTCCTTACTGCAATACAAATGACAATTCTTACAATTGTCATTTAGAGAGAAGAGAGAGGGCCCCCCCCCCCCCCCCCACACTTTTTTTTTTTTTTTTTTTTTTTTTTTTTTTTTTTTTTTCCCTGGTCTCTTACCATTGCATCATTTATTCACTTTAAGGCTCCATGTACACTGCAGCTGCTAAACTGACATTCAGGAGCTTTCCAGCGTGTGGTGTGTGGTGTTTGTGTTTTTTTTTTGTTGTTGTTTTGCTTTTTTACACACCAAAATTGCATTCAGGTGTAGATTTTTATCAGTGTTCGGAATGCTTGTAAACACAGATAACCGCGTTTTTAGAAGTGTTTTTTTTAACTGTTCCATGTCCAGATGCTGTCCAGAGCCTTTTTTCATCATCAGAAATGTATGCAAAGCATTTTCCATGTATTTAAATGGACCCGGTACATCGGCACAGTCAGTTCCAGGTTTTGCGTGAAGGAAAAAAATGGTAGAACGTGCCGCATTATGCTCATGATGGGATCCATAGTGACTACAAACAGAAAAGACAGCTAATCGCAACACATACTGCTCTTTCTCTCAATGTCGTAAGTTACTAATTTTTTGCTGTGGTGTGTTTTTTTTTTTTTTTTTGTTTTTTTTTTTTTTTTTGGGGGGTTTTTTGGGTTTTTTTTTTTTTTTCTGGGCATTTTGGAAGGTCTCCTGATGTTCTCTTTTAAAAAAGCTTCTAAACCGAAACACTGTATGCAAACGCGACTAAACGTGTGTGTGTTTTTGTTTTTATCTATGTTTTCCAGCAGTCACTTTCCATCATTCAGAAGTGTTTTTTTTCCAAACGTCCCGTGTACATGGAGCCTTAGTGATCAGATGCACACTTTAAGCCGAAGTGAAGGTAGCCTAAAGAACTGTGAGCATGCAGCTCAGACGTTACAGATCTGTTCTGTAATAATAAACCGCTGCCTGCTTACAATCTCTTATTGAATGCACACTGAGTTGCGCATGCGCAGTTCATCATGCATTCCCGGCACACTCTGGCTGTCCTGGAAATACCATCTCCTGTGGGATGCTGTCATTCCATCGCCGGCAAACCAAGGGGCCGAAAACCGATCCCCTGGAAATAGCCAGGGAGAAGATGACAGCAGCCAGCAAGGAATTTTCACTTTTCACGTCGCTGGAATGAGGTGGTATTTCTTTCAGCTTGGTTCCACTTTACCAGTAAAGCTGGACATACTACATTAACGTGGAACAAATCCATCAATTCTCCAGAAGGTATGTCATGAATGTTAACACTCACAGTTGCTTGTGGTCTGAAACATTGCTTGTGTTCTAAACCGAACTGTCAAGCACATGGCTGGTGTCATAACTGATTATGTGCAAACCAAGGCTAAGATGGCCACTTCCTTGACCATAGATTGTAAGCTCCAAGGAGCATGGCCCTCGAACCCCTTGTGTATTGTTACTGTACTGTCTCCCATTATAATGTACAGCGCTGAGCAAACCATTGGCGCTATATAAATACTATATAATAATAAAGGATGGGTGTATTTTTCATTTCGCCCTTAGGTTTTACTTTCGTCTTAGCCTAGCAGACACCGCCAGATTCCCCTATCCATGCTAAACGGTGTGGCTGGGAAAATCTGTAGTGCCAGCTGTAGTATTCTGACAGCCAGCTCTCCTATTCTGCTTGTGAGCAGGCACTGTAAAGCGAAAAATCGACTTTTGTAGAGTTGGGTGATGCAGGGCAACCCATAGAATGAATTTTAGCCAGTTCAGGAATCGGCTGAAATTTGATCCTTGTACGATGAACTTAAAGCGAAACTTCACCCCAAAGGGAAGTTCTGCTTTTCTGTATCCTCCACCTTTAACATTTGGACTTTGTTTTGGAGGGGGGGACCTGGTTTTGGCAGGCTCCAGCTCCCCACTTCTACTCAGATTGCCTAGGTGATCAGTATGAAAGTTCACCACCTTCCCTGTCTGCCTAATAAAGCAAAAACTCCAAGCCTCTCTGCATGATTTGGTCAAAGCCATAGAGTTAGATAAATAGATCTCTATGGCTTTGACCAAATCATGCAGAGCGGCTTGGAGTTTCTTTGCTTTATTATTATCTTTTCTCCTTGTTCTCCTTGTTTTCGTTCTCCTTGTTTTTCGTTCTCCTTGTTTTCGTTCTCCTTGTTTTCGTTCTCCTTGTTTTCGTTCTCGTTGTTCCTTTTTTCCTTTTCGTTCTTCTCTTCCTTCTCCTTTTTTTTCCTTTTTTCCTTTTTCGTTCTTCTCTTCCTTCTCCTTTTTTTTTTTTTCCTTTTTTCCTTTTTCGTTCTTCTCTTCCTTCTCCTTTTTTTCCTTTTTTCCTTTTTCGTTCTTCTCCTTTTCGTTCTCCTCCAGCAATAAGCACAACAGTGCTCAGTCCTCCAATGTTCTTTAAACATCCATGGCTACATACACATTGCACATTTGGGAATGAGGGCATCTAGCACACAGTATCTTTGGGTAATTTATTTAAATTCTGAAAGTCAACATTTGCATATTTCCAAACATGACAATACTTGAGCTTAGGAATTAGTAGGTCAGGCACTAAGCCCTGCATTGTGGAAGGCCGCAGGGAGCCTTCTGTATGCCCCATACCCATAGACACCAGATTTTTATTCTCCAGGCTAAAGCGGCAGACCATGGTGGCTTTGGAGTGTTGACAATGTAGACCAGACTAGCAAACTGCCTTTTTCACAAAGCCGAAGCCTAATTTTCATTGAGTGTGTGGTTGTTTTTTTTTTTTTTTGTTTTTGGAAGTATAGAGTCCCTTTTTGAGATCCCGTTCAAATTTTAATCAATGCAGTTTTGGTTCATTGCAGGAAAATGTTTGATAAGATTGACAGCAATAATGATACCTATGTCACAGCGGCTGAACTCCTGGTGTGGATGAAGTTTGTACACGGGCGTTTTGTCTCCGAAGCCGTAGATAAACAAATGGCGATGACCGATAAGAACCGTGACCACACTGTGTCCTGGGAGGAGTACTACAATCACACCTACTCCCATCTGATAGGTGAGGCTTCATTCCCATCTCTTCTAATGTGCCCCTATCTTCTTCTCCAGGAAGATAGTCGATAAAATAGACCGAGACAAGGATGGCTTTATTACCAGCCAGGAGCTGAAAGATTGGATCACACACACCCAGAACCGTTATATCTATGAGAACGTTAACAAGCACTGGAGGGATTATGACAAAAATAAAGACGATAAGATCAGCTGGGAAGAATACAAGAATACCACCTATGGGTACGCTGCAGGTAAGGGAATGAAAGCAATGCCTGTGCCATTCGCCTTTTTAAAACTGCCCATGCCTATCGATTGGTTGTAGAAAGTAGCCATGATCGGGAAGACTGATCTGCATGACTTTTGCTTCTTTATTGGATGAATGGACTGTCACTCAAGCTAGTGCTGCTACAACCTGCTTGGCTGTTCCACTTGGCCTTCAGAGCTGCTTGCAGTATTACAATGATGCTCATAATTCTTTTGCTCTTCAAAAACTTAAGTTTCTCAGACGTGCACTTTAGTGTGACCATAGAGATTTATACTATGCCATTATATTGCACTAAATGCAATATATTCTAATATCTGAGATAACAACTTGACCTTTTTAGGTCAAATAGTAGACCGAATTATTAATCTAGGCAAAACTGGCTGCTTTGGCTGTTTTGTTCAGCATAGCACTTACAGTCAGGTCCATAAATATTGGGACATCGACACAATTCTAACATTTTTGGCTCTATACACCACCACAATGGATTTGAAATGAAACGAACAAGATGTGCTTTAACTGCAGCTTTAATTTGAGGGTATTTACATCCAAATCAGGTGAACGGTGTAGGAATTACAACAGTTTGCATATGTGCCTCCCACTTGTTAAGGGACCAAAAGTAATGGGACAGAATAATAATCATAAATCAAACTTTCACTTTTTATTACTTGGTAGCAAATCCTTTGCAGTCAATTACAGCCTGAAGTCTGGAACGCATAGACATCACTAGACGTTGGGTTTCATCCCTGGTGATGCTCTGCCAGGCCTCTACTGCAACTGTCTTCAATTCCTGCTTGTTCTTGGGGCATTTTCCCTTCAGTTTTGTCTTCAGCAAGTGAAATGCATGCTCAATTGGATTCCGATCAGGTGATTGACTTTGCATTGCATAACATTCCACTTCTTTCTCTCTTTCACTCTTTGGTTGCTTTTGCAGTATGCTTTGGGTCATTGTCCATCTGCACTGTGAAGCGTCCAATGAGTTGTGAAGCATTTGGCTGAATGTGAGCAGATAATATTCCCGAAACACTTCAGAATTCATCCTGCTGCTTTTGTCAGCAGTCACATCATCAATAAATACAAGAGAACCAGTTCCATTGGCAGCCATACATGCCCACGCCATGACACTACCACCACCATGCTTCACTGATGAGGTGGTATGCTTAGGATCATGAGCAGTTCCTTTCCTTCTCCATACTCTTCTCTTCCCATCACTCTGGTACAAGTTGATGTCGGTCTCATCTGTCCATAGGATGTTGTTCCAGAACTGTGAAGGCTTTTTTAGATGTCGTTTGGCAAACTCTAATCTGGCCTTCCTGTTTTTTGAGGCTCCCCAATGGTTTCCATCTTGTGGTGAACCCTCTGTATTCACTCTGGTGAAGTCTTCTTTTGATTGTTGACTTTGACACACATACACCTACCTCCTGGAGAGTGTTCTTGATCTGGCCAACTGTTGTGAAGGGTGTTTTCTTCACCAGGGAAATAATTCTTCAGTCATCTACCACAGTTGTTTTCCGTGGTCTTCCGGGTCTTTTAGTGTTGCTGAGCTCACCGGTGCCAACATTCTTAAAAAGAATTCCTTCTTTTTAAGAATGTTCCAAACAGTTGTTTTGGCCACGCCTAATGTTTTTGCTATCTCTCTGATGGGTTTGTTTTGTTTTTTCAGCCTAATGATGGCTTGCTTCACTGATAGTGACAGCTCTTTGGATCTCATCTTGAGAGTTGACAGCAACAGATTCCAAATGCAAATAGCACACTTGAAATGAACTCTGGACCTTTTATCTGCTCATTGTAATTGGGATAATGAGGAAATAACACATACCTGGCCATGGAACAGCTGAGAAGCCAATTGTCCCATTACTTTTGGTCCCTTAACAAGTGGGAGGCACATATGCAAACTGTTGTAATTCCTACACCGTTCACCTGATTTGGATGTAAATACCCTCAAATTAAAGCTGACAGTCTGCAGTGAAAGCACATCTTCATTTCAAATCCATTGTGGTGGTGCATAGAGCCAAAAATGTTAAAATTGTGTCGAAGTTTCAATATATTTCAATATATGGACCTGACTGTATATATTGTCTCCAGCAGCTATACCGGTCTACCCAGTTGGGTTTTTAAAGGGAACCTGTCCTAATCCTATACCATGATTCTACACCTGAGTCCATCCATGATGTCTACACATTGGCTTCCTTGGCTCCTTTGAGTGCAGTTGGTGAAGGGTCTCCATTCCAGGCTTTTGCTTTCATTCTCTTACTAGGCTACTGTAAGGTGAATATGATGCACGTCAGTACAGAAACATCAGTGCTGAATCATTTGCTGTAATTCTAATCCTCTATTAGGAGCAAAGAAGTGAAAATAAACATGGAGCGGGGTATGAGCTTTGCTCATGTAGGACAGAGAAATGAGCTTGCTTAAATCTGGTCTCCACTTATTTTTTTTATTTTTTTTTTGTCCCTTTTTAACCACTTGCCTACTGGGAACTTTCACCCCCTTCCTGCCCAGGCCAATTTTCAGCTTTCAGCACTGTCGCACCTTGACAATTATGTGGTCATGCAACGCTGTACTTGTATAACATTTGTATACATTTTTTTTGAGACCGAGCTTTCTTTTGGTGGTATTTAATCACCTCCTGGGTTTTTTTTTATTTTTTGCTAAACCAAAAGCAACAATTTAGAAAAAAATTCTTTCTATTATAAAATTTTGTAAATAAGTAATTTTTTTTTTTTTTTTTTCCTTCACTGATGTGCGCTAATGAGGCTGCAGTGATGGGCACTGAAAGACGGCACTGGTAGGTGGCACTGATGGGCATTGACAGGCAGCACTGATAGCTGGAACTGATAGGCGGCACTGTAAGGCAGCTCAGATGGGCATTGATGGACACTGACAGGTGGCACTAATGGGGATACACTGATCATCAGTGCCCTGATGATTCGTGTATTTTTCCCCTCTGAGTAATGCCGATTACTGGCTCTCCTCTCCTCACGAGCTATCAGCACGACACCTCGTGAGATGAGGAACGCCGATAACTGGTATTTCCCTATTTTTACATGCGATCACCTGTGATTGGATACAGCTGATCACATGACATCATCGGCTCTTTCCGCTGATCTGTGTCCCAGGGACACAGTGCACCACCAATCTGAGTGCCCCTCTGGGCGCACACGCGTGCGGTTAGAATGGGAGGGCGTCATATGACGTCCTTCCAGAACAAGAGAACCACCATGCTCCCGTTACCTTTTTATAGGGCGGGTGGGAGGTGGTTAGAGGCTCGTTCTTTTTGTTATGGAAAAAAGTCACTTACCTGCTCTGTGTAATAGTTTTGCACAGAGCAGCCCCGATCCTCCCCTTTTTTGGGTCTCCCGCTACCATCACCCTCCTGGCCCCTCCCTCAGGCCGAGTGCTACGTGCTAAGGGAGTACTTGAGCAGACTCGCTCCTGAGCTGCTGCTCTGTTCATTCATGCAGAGTGTGGCTCAGCCCCGCTCTCCTCTTCTTATTGGTTCACTGGCGGTCATTGGCAATAGCAGGAGCCAGTGGTTCCCACTGCCATCTCAGCCAATGAGGAGGGAGTGACCCTGAAGAGCTGCTGCTCTCGTACACATTGCTGGTTCGTGATGGGGCTCAGGTAAGTATGGCTACGTTCCTACATACATGGAGATCTGCTCACCAAACATCCCATAGTCCGTCTCTGGAACTAGCCAGATAAGGTGGCTACATTCCTACATACCATGGAGAAATAATGTACCCTATAATAAGAAATCTAACTACAAAAGCAAAAAAAAAAAAAATTTTGGAGAAGGCTGAGCTCAATAGGATTTTTTTTTTTGAGTTAAGAATTATTCTTCCTTCCTTTTTTTTCCTTCTTCATTCCTTTTCCTTCTTCCCTCCCTTCTTCCCTGCTCTCTACTACCACTCTGAGTTTGGGGGGGGGGGGGGGGGGCAGTACAAAATCTGGCAAAACTGTGTTTTTTTTTTTTTTTTTTTACTAATGATACCTGCAATGATAGCATGACTTTGAATTTGCTTGGCAGCACTGTGTCCTTGACTTGTTTTTAAATATAATAATAATAATATTTTATTGATTTTGGGTTTTTGGTGGTTTTTTTTTTTTTTTTTTTTTCTTTCCCCAGATGAAGAGGCATTTTACGATGTACCTGACAAGGAAAGATACAGACAGATGATGAAACGGGATGAACGTAGATTTAAGCAAGCAGACAAAGATGGTGATTTGATTTGCACCCGGGAGGAATTCACCGCATTCCTGCATCCAGAAGAGTTTGACTACATGAGAGATATCGTGGTCACAGTGAGTACCCCCTTTTTTTTTTTTTTTTTTTTTTTTTAAGGGATAGTGCTTGTTCACTCTATAGGTTTCCAATAGGAAACGCACTTTTAAATTCTTGGCCATGTTAATTAATGGTGCTGTTCATGGTTTTCTGCGCTCTTGAACTTTCAGCCCTGGTTCACACTGACATACAAACCGATGCGGGTGTGTATGTTAACACCCCGACATTGGTCCGCAAAACGCGGTGCGATGTGCAGAATCGGATCGCATAGGTGTAAATACCCATGCGATCTGATTCTAGTGCGGACCAAAAAAACTGTCCTGCACGTTTTGGGTGTGGTGCCAATAGTCATACAATGGCTCTAATTACACCGCATACAAATCGCATGTGATTTGTCCAGGAATATGGTGCAGTTCCTATGCGAATCACATGGGATTTACCGCACTGCTGTAGTGTGAACCCGGGCTCAAGCTCTGGATAAACCTGTCGCCAGAATATTCATTAATCACATACTTCCAATAGGATTATACAGTATGATCATTAAATGGTCAAGACTGCTGTTGGGTGCCACCATGTTGGTTGCAATGTCAGCAGCTCTCTTTCTCTTTCTCTTTCTCTTTCTCTTTCTCTTTCTCTTTCTCTTTCTCTTTCTCTTTCTCTTTCTCTTTCTCTTTCTCTTTCTCTTTCTCTTTTTCTTGTTATAGTTACATAGTTAGTCTGGCTGAAAAGACCGTCCATCCAGTTCAACCATTAAAAAAAGTTCTAATCCTATACCCACAGTCAGGGGCGGACTGACAACTCATGGGGCCCCCGGGCAATAGAGGATCATTAGGCCCCTGTGTCCTTGCCCAAACTCAAAAAAGCTTATGAAAAAGGTACCAGAGGCATCTCATGGGGCCCCCTACTGACCTCAGGCAGTGCCCAAGTTTCCAAATGGTCAGTCCACCACCTGCCCACAGTTGATCCAGAGGAAGTCAAAAAAAACCCAGCAAAGCATGATGCAATTTGCTCCTGCAGGGAAAAATTTCTTCCTGATCCCCGAGAGGCAATCGGATATTCCCTGGATCAACTTTACCTATAAATGTCACAGTACCCTTGTAAAGCTTGCAGAAATCTCTGAAGAACCCCAGCAGATGGTGGTGGTTTGTTGTGTGGGGTTTGGTTTTTTTTTTTTGGTTTTTTTTTGGGGGGGGCTTAGTCCAAAATAGTAAATTGTTTAGCTAGATATAATTTTATTTTTGCCCATTACCATATGACCCACCACCAACAATATACCATGTGTGCATTATTTGTTGGTACCCATAGTAGGACCAAAAACAATAGAGCGCACTTCCTTTTTTGTTTTTTTTTTTTTTTTTTTACCTATCCAGCACTTTGACAATAACATTTTACATTTTGCTGTTCCATTATTTGATTTTCCTAATCTATAATTTCTGTTTTTTTGCAGGAGACCATTGAGGACATAGATAAAAATGGAGATATGTTGGTGGATGTTAATGAATACTTAGGTAAGTTGGAACATTACCTTGTCTGACACTAATCTATAAACTAACTATAGGGGGGGTTGTCTACATATACATACTCCAAGATCTTCGTTTTATGCATTTCTCATTGCAAATGAAGTTCCTCCTGAAAACTATATATTTATTTTTTTTATTATTATTATACAGTATTTATAAAGCGCCAATAGTTCGCTCAGCGCTGTACATTACAAAGGGGGACAGAACATGTGACAGAACAATACCAATACAATGCAAAACATGAGGGGATCGAGGGCCCTGCTCTTTCGCGTTTACAATCTATTTTAAAATGAATGTACTTTCTGAACGATTACCACATACACTGGCCGAAAATTTGTTTGATCTGGAACAGAAACAATTCAGTACTGTCCAAGATACTTTTTTTTTTTTTTTTTTTATTTGCACTAACATACAATTTTGAGGACACGCTTTCAGGGAGTGTCCCCTTCTTCAAGGTCCAAGCAGTACTGTTACAAAGTACTGTAGTACTTTAGTACTTTAGTACTACAGTACTTTAGTACTTTAGTACTGTAGTACAAGTTTAGAAGATATGTGGGGATTGAGGAAAAAAAAAAAAAAAAGGCAGAAAGAAACACAAGCCTAAGGTTAGCCTAGAGATAAGAACAGCAAAGCAAAGACTGAGAGGGGGAACAGCACTCAGAGGGAGTCATAAATATGTCGGATAATGAGTGAGGAATCCCATGTCCAAATTCAGGCCGTTATCTCTTGTGTCAAATAGAATTATCATTCTTAGTTCAAAAGTTTTTTTTTTGTTTTTTTTTTTTCCTGAATGGATTTGAAATTTCCTTTAAGAACTAAAACATTGAGGTCTTCCATAGTGTGGTTTGGTTGTGCGAAATGGTGTCCTACAGGTGTGCAAAGGTCACCTTCTTTATGTTCCTTGATGGTATGTCTGCGCAAATTCATCCTTGTTTGCAACTTCTGTCCTGTTTTGCCAACATAAGATCCTTTGTTACATTTGATCTGGAAGTTTTTTTCCTTTTTGCCCCTTCAAATGTTTTTCCCATCACCGCTGTTGAAAACTAACATCGATTTTGACTCCACTAATGATTAGAAAATCAAACTAATATTCTCGAATGAAAATCTATATGCGTATGGCCAGCTTAAATACAAAAGAGACCATGATAATTTGTATCTCGTTATCCCTATCCTACCAATGTTTCTGAACACTTTCAGGTGGTCTGTTTTTGGGCTGTAGCAGCGGTGATCACTGCTACATTTACACAGCAGATCCTGGCTGTCATTTGACCACCAGGAATTGCCAGCAAGAGGAGGAGCATAAGTGTGTGTCACCCAGGGGCGGACTGACCATTTGGAAACTCTGGCAAGGCCCGGGGTCAGTAGGGGGCTCCATGAGATGTCCCTGGTACACTTTTTTTTTTTTTTTTTTTTCATAGGCTTTTTTTGAGTTTGGGCAAGGACACAGGGGCCCCGTGATCCCCTATTGCCCGGGGGCCCCATGAGTTGTCAGTCCGCCCCTGGTCACACCCAATATCCACAACTAGTTAATGACTCCTTTTTTAGGTTTATTACCTTTTTATGATCAAAATGTATCATATTATAAAAATATTAATTTTTTTTTTTTTTTTTAATTGCATCTACTACAATGTAATTGTTTCTCCCCCAGCGGACATGTACACTCCTGAAAATGATGAACCTGAGCCAGAGTGGGTAAAGACAGAGCGTCTGCAGTTTTCAGACCATCGCGACTTGAATAAGGATGGCAAATTGGACCGATCAGAAATCGCCCATTGGATCCATCCTCATGAATACGATCACACAGATTTGGAGGCCAAACATCTCGTCTATGAGTCTGATAAAGACCGGGTAACAAATTTATTTCAGAATGATTTTCATTCAGTGGGGATGGGGGTGCCGAAACGCACCACATGATGACTTTCCGCCGCCTCCAGGGTGACATTAGAAGGGACAGTAGCATTACTACTCTTGTCAGCTTGGTGCTGGAAGTGGATAGCCAATGCAGGAGAGAAGGAAAGAGCTAGATGGAGGTGCAGGCTGTTTGTTTGCGTGCCCTGTCTCGCCCGCCTGCGCTGTCTCGCCCGCCCTCTCTAGTAAGGGCAACTGATTTGTGGCATTTATTTCCTGGAATCCATCTGCCCTTAGCTTAAGCATGCATGCAGGAGAGTGTACTTGAATGAGAAGTCCTTCCTTTAGACTCCTGGTACGTATGACATGATTTGCCTAGGCAAGAAACCAGGAAGCAACTAAAGAAGTGTGGGGGGAAAAAAAAATTTTTTTTTATATATATATATAAAATACTTTCCTATCTATTTACTAACACAGGCAGCATGAGTATTAAAAATTAATCAATGTTGATTGAGAGTGAAGTTCCACTTTGAAGGATAAGTTCACCTTTTAGACTAATAATTGGATTTTTTTTTTTTTTTTTTTTTAACCTGCAAAAAATGTGCATTTTATTTTGTCCAAAAGGTGCCTGGAAAGCATTGCACTAGCGATCAGCAGATTGCTGATGCCATGCAGGTCTCCTGCAGAACTGTCAGAGTATCTGCTTGCTGTATGGGATGTACAAGCAAGCTGATATTCTGACTGGAAGCCTCAATGAACTATCACCGCGCCGTGGTTGTTCATTGAAAACTACAAGCCAACCGCCACTAAGGCTGTTGGGACTCGTAGGTCATTCATTCACTGAAATTTGACAGATTGTACGAGGGGTGGTGGGGAGCAGCCGCGGCTAAGGGAACATGTTACATGTTTCACCCTAAAAGCTGGTGGAATGACATGTTCAGAAGGGGAACTTTATCATTTAAAGTTCCACCCAAAAGGGGAAGTTCTGCTTTAAGCCTTTGTCCCCCACACCCCTGTAAGGATTGGCACCTTTGGGGAGCAGGGGGGTACCTGAATTTGACAGGTACCCGCTTTCACTTCCGCTGCGATAGGCAATCGGAAGTGGAAGTTGTCGAATTTGACAGGTACCCACTCCCACTGCGATCGCAATTTGTCGCCCCCTCCCCGTTATCTTCTGGGGACACGTGACAGGTCCCAGAAGTCTACGGGCCCATTCAGAGTACAGCGCTTCTCACGCATGCGCAGTGGGCACCCGGCTGTGAAGCCGCAAGCTGTCACAGCCCGGGTGCCCATACTAAAGATGCCGGGGAGAGAAGACTGCCAGTGAAACCAGCCATGGTGAGGACACTGCTGGACCGCCGAGGAACAGGTAAGTGGCTGTATTTTAAAAGTCAGCAGATAGTGTTGTGTTTTTTTTTTTTTTTTTTTTTTTTTTTTTTTTTTTTTTTTGTTTCCAGGTGGAACTCCGCTTTTATGGTTTGCTTTGTAAATGTTTGAAAACTGTGTTAGATCGCCACCTGTTGACTGAAAAATATATATTAAAGTTATTTCTATAACCGCTCCATACTGTAGTTTCTGACAGGCATTGCAAGCGGTTGCAGTGCTGCCTCCTGGATGAGGGAAGGAGGTATAATTGTTTCTGCAAAGAAAAGCATTATGATATAACTCTGCCCAGCTCGCTTTGCAGCTTAAGTGGTGGTAAACTGCGGCTTTTTTTTTTTTTTTTTTTTTTAACCTGCAATACAATGGCATAATGTGCTAATCTGCACCACATACTAGAACATTACGAAGTACTTGCCTGAGAACAAAGCCCTCCAGTGGCACACTGTCACCACCGGCAGGGCTTCAATCTTCACCCAGTCTTCCTTCGGGGTTCACTTGCTCCAGCTTTGACTGTCAGAGCTGCGATGACGTCACTCCTGCACATGCACACGGGAGTTTTGGCTGCAGCACGGAGCTCTGGAGGAATGGCACAGGTATATGCCATCCCTACGCTTGGGATGTCACCCGCTGCATGCAGTGTGACTATCTCCTAAACCATTTAGGACAGGGATGTCAAACTGGCGGCCCTCCAGCTGTTGCGAAACTACAAGTCCCATCATGCCTCTGCGTTTGGGAGTCATGCTTGTAATGGTCAATCTTACAATGCCTCATGGGACTTGTAGTTTGGCAACAGCTGGAGGCTGCCAGTTTGACACCCGTGGTTTGGGAAATGTTGACTGTACCTACAGGTAAGGCTTACTTTTAGGTACAAGTTAAAAAAAAAAAAAAAACTTCTTTAACCACTTGCCTACCAGGCACTTATACCCCCTTATTTACCAGGCCAATTTTCAGCTTTCAGCGCTGCCGCACTTTGACAATTGCGCGGGTCATGCAACATTGTACCCATATGAAATTTTGCTCATTTTTTTTCTCACAAATAGAGCTTTCTTTTGGTGGTATTTAATCGCCACTGGGCGCTTTACTTTTTGCGCTATAAACAAAAAAAGTGCAAAACATTTGGGAAAAAAAAAAAAGTTTCTTTGTTTATATTATAAAATGTTTCAAACAGGTAATTTTTCTCCTTCACTGATGGGCGGCACTGATGATGGATACTGATAGACGGCACTGACTGGCATCACTGCTGGGCACTGCCTGGCACAACCGCTGGGCACTGACTGGCTGCACTGCTGGGCTGCACTGGTGGGTGGGCACAGGTGGGTGGCACAGGTGGGTGGGCACTTCTGGGCACAGGTAGGTGGCACTTCTGGGCACAGGTGTGTGTGACACTGCAGAGTGGCACAGGTGGGCGCACTGCTGGGCACAGGTGGGCGGAGCTAGTGGGCGCACTGCTGGGCACAGGTGGGTGGAACTTGTGGGTGGCACTGCTGGGCACAGGGATCATCAGTGCCCTGATGATCGGTGCCGATCCTCGCTCTGACAACTGCCGGTTCTCGGCAGTACTTTCCTCACGATCTGACAGCGTGAGGAAAGTGCAGCCGAGAACCGGCAATTGCATTTCCCTGTGATCAGCGTGTCATTGGACACCGCTGATCACGTGGTAAAAGGCCGCTGTGATTGGCCTTTTACCACATCACGTGATCAGCTGTGTCCGTAGGACACAGCGATCACGGAGATTGCCGGGTGCGTGCCCCCTGGGGCGCGCAGGAGAGCGCGTTCTGGGAGGACGTCATATGACGTCCACCCAGAACTGGCCGGCCGCAGTGCAGCCGTCATTCGGCTATCTGCGGTCGGCAACTAGTTAAGGGTGGTTATGGTAAGCGTGGCTCAACTGCTTCTATCATTGAAATGGAAGGTCAGGCAATATTTCACTTCCTTGGCTGCGGCTAGTATTCCGCACTTGTGGGTGTATAGAATACCTTCTCCCCCGCCAAATGATGTGCACTTGCACAAGGTCAAATAAACGTGCACTCCAGAGAAGCCGCTACTGCAGGGGTGAATCTTCTGCCTCTTTATATACAGCTATCACTTTTATTTTGACCCCTGTAGTGACTTGTCAAAACAGAAATGCTCGTGTTAAGGCCATAAGACTCAAACCAGATAAACATCTGATGGTGTTTGTTTTTGTTTTATTTTATATAGTTTTTAATAATTTTTATTTCCTTCTTAGGACGAAAAACTAACCAAGAAAGAAATATTGGACAACTGGAACATGTTTGTCGGCAGTCAAGCGACGAACTACGGCGAAGACTTGACAAGGCGCGGCATGATGAATTTTAATGGACGCCGGTCCATGCGCTCCTGGATGAGCTTATACCGCCTCAGCACATTGCTGATGCCTTAGAGATTGGATTCCAGTTGTGGCAATGGGGACCTCGGGACAAGGGACTGAATCTCTGAAATTTTTATTTTTTTTTTTGTTACATACAGTATCTTTTTTTTTTTTTTTTTTTTTTTTTTTTATCAGTGTAATAAGACTTGTCCAATGCTCAGGAAACCTTTTTGATGCCGTCTACAAACTATATTGTATGGGATTTGAGATGATTGGGTTTAACAGACTTATTTGAGGCTCCATGCACACTGGCTTACAAATCGCTGCTTTTACAAGAGTTTTGTGTTGTGCATTGACACCTACAGTAGGATAACACTCAGCTGCTTCCATAGGCAAATTAGGACAATTAGAAGCATTTTTTTAGGGCCGGTTCACACTATAGAAACAGTCCAGATGTGTTTTTTGCGTGTTCCGCTGCATGTGATGCGTTTTTCAATTCAATTTTTTTTCCCCTCTTTTTCCTCCCATTTAAATAAGGATGTGCATTTTACTGTATCCCAGTACAGTTCTGTGCAGGAAAAATGCAGCATGATAGATATATATATATATATTTTTTTTTCTGTATCTGGAACTGCGAGAACCGATATGAACCATGACATTGACAACCATATAACCTACTTTCTGTGCTTTTTGGATGCAGAAACAAAAACGCACACTGAAAACGCATGTAGTGTGAACTGGCCCTTAACCACTTGCTGTCCACCTGCTGTTTTTAAACGGCAGGGCGGTGACACTCCAGGGGCGGGTTGATGTTCATAAACAGCACCCGCTATTTCTAGTTGTGCGCGCTCCCTGGGAGCGCGCAGTACCGAGATCTGGTGCCCGCTGTGTCCTCCGGACACAGTGAAACACCGATCGTCGGACGGGACCTCGGTACAAGGTCCCGATCATGTGTTCACTGATTGGCCAATCAGTGGTCACATGCAAAGTAGTAAGCAATGATGTCACTTGTGACATCATTGCTTACTACGTGTGAAATCTGTGAATGATCACAGAGGTCACATGGTACAAGGCTATTCACAACAGCCTTGTACCATGTGACAAGCTGTGACCAATCACAGCTCACACAGTATTTCTCAATGGCTGCAAGAATGCAGACAGATAGAGAAATGATTGCTTTTACATCCTATATGGGTGTAAAAGCAATCACTGTAAAAAAAAAAAAAAAAAAAAAAATCATCACCCCCCCACAAGTAGTACAGTGTCACCATGGGGACACTGTACTGCTAGGGTGGCGGTATATAAAAAAAAGTTTAAAAATTATAATTTTTGGTTATAAATAATTTGGCTTTTTTTTTCTTTAGTAAAAAAAAAAAAAAAAAATACGCCAAATTAGTTATAACTAAAAATTTTTAAACCTTTTTATTTTTTTATATTTTTTTAGTAAAATAAAATTTTGCAAATAAATAATATTTCATCAAATCTTGGCCAAAGTTTCAAGGTTTTTTTTTTTTTTTTTTTTGTTTTTTTTTTTTTTTTTTTTTTTTAAGAAAAACACTTTTCAAAATTTTTGGACTTTTTCATTTATATAGCAAAAAAAAATAAAAATCCCAGTGGTGAATAAATACCACCAAAATAAAGCTGTCTCAAAAAAATGGTAAAAAATTCATATGGGTACAGTGTTGCATGACTGCGCAATTGTCATTCAAAGTGTGATAGCGCTGAAAGCTGGAATTTGCCCTGGTCAGGAAGGGGGTAAAAGTGTCCGGACTGGAAGTGGTTAAGCTCAATATTTAGAGGCAGGAAGAAACCCTTTTCGGTTTAAGTGGAGCTTTCTGGCAGAAAACTCTAAATGTGTCTAAATCGTGTACAAAATACTCAATCAGTGTTTTTGTTTTTCTACCAAGGGACTTTTTTTTTTTTTTTTTTTTTTTTTTTTTTTTTTTAAGCCCAGTGTGCATGGAGCCTGACATTGGACATGGCAGTCAATACCACTTTAAAGTTTGTAAGATGTTGCAGGTTTGTGTTTCTTTATTAATTTTAATCCTCTGACCACAGGAAAGGCACTTGTACATTCGGTTAATCAAATGCCTTTTTATTACTGTGCATTTGAAGTTCTCACACAATCACTAGTTCAGTTTGAAGGGTCATTCATCGAAAAGAAAATATTTTGCTTATAGGTGGACATACATGATCTGGATTACCAACTGGCCTCTTATATTCTGAGGGCTCACTCACACTTGTGTGCTGCAGCAACTTGCCTACGCTGTATGCATTGTGGTGTCCTTCATTGTATAGTAGAGCACAACACACTGTAATGCACAGATCATGTGTTTTGTGGGGTGATGTGTTGCCAAAAAAGTCACCTTTAATAGCCTGGCTGTAGTTCCATCCCTTTTTTTTTCATTCCTTGGGCTTTAATTTTCTCTAAATATGACAGACCTACATCATCCTATAAACAAGTTGATTCTGGTGAGTAAACATTCATGCAAATACATTAATTTATGACTTGATTATTGTCACTGTTTTTGTAAAGCAAAATGATGGAAGTGTTCATCACATTTCATGAAGAAGAAAAAAAAAAAAAAAACAAATGCATGTCTTCCCACTACCTAAGCATTTTTAAACTTCCCAAATAAGACTGCACTTCGGTGTTTGTAAGTCACTCCACTGCAATTCTATGGTAAAAACCTTGTGAAGCATCTGAACAAATAAAATGAAAAATGCAACTTGGTTTTGTGTTTTTTTTTTTCCCCCCACTTGTTTTGTGTGGGGTGTTTTGGGTTTTTTTTTTTTGTTTGTTTTTTTTTAGAATTTGGGAGGGATTGGAACCCCTGTCTGTTTTTATTGCTATCTGTGCCCCTGTTTGGAAAAATTTCTGCTCTCTTTTTCCTGTTTCCATCGTTGCAAGTAAAAAAGAATTCCAAATTTTTGGCTGTCCCCAGAAAAGTAATAGAAGGGAAATCTTGCAATGGGGACAACCAGTTCTGGAGATCTGGGGGTCACCAAGGTATTACCTTCATTTTCAGGGATTTCCTCTCGCTTCCTGTTTGGCTATGGGACAGGATATGAAGTTAAATCTCTGCAATGAGAAAATAAATTTGACAGGTTATAACCCTACCTTTACTCTATTTAAAATTGGGGGTGGGGGCAAGTTTTTGGCTATAGTTCTACTTTAATCAAATTCTTAAAAAAAAAAAAAAAAAAAAAAAAAAAAAACCTTGTTATAGTACACTTACCTCTGGTTCTCTTCCCAACATTGCAAAGGGTTTGCTACTAAAGGGGAATACGAATAATTACATTGTACCACAGAATTTTATTAACACTGTAATTTACAGCTTTAATCAATGTCTATGTATAACCGATAGAAATATGCATTTTTTTTAAAAGGGAAATTGGCAGTGGTGCACCAGAAATGAAAATTCTGGTGCTGAAACCAAAAAGCGCAGTTTTTTTTAAAAATTGAATATTTTTTGGAAAATAAATACTTTGATAAAAAAATTTTTTTTTTTTTTTTTTTTTTTTTTTTATATAAAATGAGAGGATGTTACAGCTAGTAAATGGTGACCCAATATGTCACGCTTTAAAAAAATATAAAAAAATTGCATGCTCGTGAAATGGCGTGAAACTGCGGTACTAAAATCTCCATGGGTGATGCTGTAAAAATTTCTACAGGTTAGTGTAAAGTTACAGAGGAGGTCTAGTGGGAGAATTATTGCTCTTGCTCTTGCTCTGACGTTAGTGGCAATACCGTGTGTGTGTGGTTTGAACACCATTTACATATGTGGGCATGGCCTACGTATGCGTTCACCGCTAGGTGCAAGCCCTTGTGATAGAAATAATTAGTGACAGGTCCTCTTTAAGGAGAGATATGGGGTCAATAATACCCCACATCTCATCTGCAATGTAAAGCATTGGATCAAAACAAAAGCATTGATCTAGTGCTTTATAAAAAAAAAAAAAAAATAGTAAAAATGGCCAGTACTGGAAGTGACATTGCTCTGGTCCTCCAAGGGCATAGAGATGAGGGGAGGCTATCTTTCCTTCACTAATCTCTATGCCCAGCACTGGGATTGTTTGGTGGTTTCTTAGGTAAGGCTGAGAACTACCGAGCGGCAGTGGTTTTTCGGCCACCAAAATTTCTGTGCATCCCTAGAAATTGGTATCCAGCATCAACCACTCCAGTGTGGGTAAAGCTAGTGTTTCTGTACCTAAAAATGACCCAAGAAGCTGAGATTACTTTTTTTTTTTTTTTTTTTTCATTTTGGATGGAGTAAGGGAGGGTTGTAACCCGTCAGTTTATTTTTTGCCATCTGTGTCCTGTTGGGGAAATTTCCCTTCACTTCCTGTCCCATAGCCAAAACAGGAAGCCACTGCAAATTAAGGGAAATCCCTGGGGACCCCCAGGTCACCAGAACTAGTGTCCCCACTGGAAGATTTTTACCTCTTACTATTCTGGGGACAACCCAAAATTTGGGATTTTCTTTCACTTTCGATGCTAATGGTAAACAAGACAAATAGAGAAGGCAAATCTCCTTAATGGGGGTACAGAAAGGGGAAAAAAAAAAAAAAAACCTAATAGGTGTTCATAATAAAAATATATATATATATATATATATATATATATACACATATATACACACTCTAGAACAAAAAAATGGTTTGCCTTTAGTTATACTTTAAATGTCCCATGGTAGCTGCCACTCTGTTACCTAAAAATCTCCATGGGGGGGGGGAGGAAGAAACTAGAATGGTTCTGGGTGAACCAGAGTGACACCTGCTGGTTAGATATGGGAATACAAGATATTAATATGCAACATTTAGCCAACAAAACCTGTACCAGAATACATTCTGGAAAAGGTTAAGAGGGCAGAGAAGTTGGAAGATAACCCATATGACCTCTGCGCATGGAGCATTCTCATTCGAGAGGCACAGAATCCGCCTATAGAAAAAGCCCAGAAGACTTGTGAGCGTCTAGTGGCCCAGTTCCCAAGTTCTGGCAGATTCTGGAAACTTTACAATGAAGCTGAGGTTAATAAATATATATATATATTCTGTAAAACAGACCATATTCTGGTATAAAGGGTACAATTTTAACAAGTCAGATACACCCAATCTAGGTAAATGATCTTTTCATACAACTCAACTGCGTGGTGATTCCACTAGCGACTGGATAGTGAGCTATAAGAAGCCCAGCAACTTTAATTACACAATGCTTTTAAATGCCAAGTTCATCTTTAGTAAAGGTAATAAATGCACATCTTTTTGCATGTACAACATATGCATTGATTATTTTATCATCTGCAGAATGTAAAGCACTACACCCACAATCTGCAGATTGCTGGGTGCAATGCCAGGATCCTGCAGACCCTCAGTCGGCTGTCTGCCTGTACCATACAGGTAGGCAGTTACTGAATGGTGGGAAGGATCCATGCAATAAAAGAGCGCTCTTGGAGTTCAGAGAACTACAAGCCAGCAGCAGCCGATGGTACTTGTAGCCCCCCACATGACTGTGCTCTTTAACTTGCAGCAACTTAAGAAGATCCACCACCCGCTACCAATGGGGGGCTTGGGCTGACAAAAGCTAAAAAGCTCCTGCTAACAAGTTTATATGAAAATACTTTCTCCCTGGCATCATTGCTTTTTAACCTCCCTAGCGGTCTGATTATGTCAGTATTTCTGTGCTCAAAGCGGTACATTTTTTTGCATGGAAATATGTATTTTTTTTTTTATTGTAGGCTGTAATTTTTAGTAATAATCCACTGAAATCTGTCCAAACAAGAGTCTAGTAAACATCCCGGGTAGGATAAAACTTTAAACACTAAATCATAAATTATAATTTAATAAATAATCATAAAAAATATATTATTGAATTAAATTTATTATTAATCAAACCAAAAACACTGAAATATAGTGCCAAGTTCGCACATCACTGAGCAAAGTCACAAAATCGTTTTCAGTGTCTGATGACGAATTTCCTCCACAAATCATTATCACTCAATTCTGCAAGTGGTTCTGATTTACTATCGCTGTTCTCTAGCCGGTCTAAAACCGCTTTTGACCTAAAGGGACGCTTTTTGGACGCCATGGACGTTTCTCAGTTTCCAGGCAGAAAGAACAGTAAAAATGCAGGCAGGGGCCGCCGGACAAAGCACTCGGGACAAAATGTATGTGAAATGAGTTGAAACATTAATGCTTTACTATGTGATTTTAGTGTATTTGTGAATGTCAGTTTTTAAAATTTTTAAATTTCCCGCCGGTTCCAGCCCCCGTACATCCCGACTCTTGCAGGGACCGGAAGACGGATGCCAGCATCGGCCGGAGGAGATGGCCGGGGATGCTGCAGGGGGCACATCGCGGGAGCGAAGGACAAGGTAAGCGCTGCAGGGAATCCCTGAACAACACTGCAGGGTATTCCCGAGTGTAGCTCGGGGTTACCGCTTTTGGTACTGAAACTTTACCCCGAGCTACACTCGGGAATACCGCCAGGCGGGTTAAATCATGGAAAAGTACCTGTATGTTCCAGGGTGGTGGCTGCAGGCTCTGGAAATGCTAGTTACCTGGCTTATTATGCCCATCTGGCTTCAACTGAAGTATGCAGATCAGGACAGTAAATAAAAAAAAAAAAAAAAAAAAAAAAAAAAAATTCCCTATCCACATTCTTGTTCTGGACCAGTAATTCAAAGTATTGAAGAGACATTCCAACCAGGGCAACCAGCATTTTTAGAAGTAGGCAATTGCAGCCTCAATTTTTTTCTTTTTTCCAAAGGAAGGTTTCCTTTTTAAAGCCTGAGACAGCATTGTCAGGAGGAGGTCTGCAACAGCAGCACACATTTTTCTCTGCATAGCTTTCTGTCTTACCCCATTTTTGATAATGGCAATAACTATGGGAACATTTACCGCCATCTTTGTTCTCCAATCAGGATAGCTATGATTCATTTGCTTTTGTAAAAGTAAAAAAGTCTAACAACTTTTAAAAAGGATAAAAAAAAAAGTTTAAAGGATAAGTTCACCTTTTAATAAATAAATGCACATCTTTTTGCAGGTAAAAAGAAAAAACTTTTTTTTTTTCTGGGAGCCAACAAAGAATTGCACTTACGGGCAGCAGATTGAGGGTACTAGGCAGGGCTCTTGCAGACTCACATTCAGTTACACACAGACAGGAACTTTCAATGAACTACCAAAGCGCTCAACTACAAGCAGACAGCTGCAAAGGCTGGAGGTCGTTGCAGTTTCCCATACACAAAATACTGTGAATGAGTGAAGTGGCCGGGTCACTTGGACACATCATATTTATTTATTTTTTTTTTTTTTAAATTGTGGCAGCAGACACTGGGAGAAGATCCCCAGTCTGCTGCCAGAAGGGAGGGAATGACTATAACAACAAAGGGGCAGCTTCAGCACTAACATGTTACACCCTGAATATGGATGCAGGCAAACTCACTGTGTTTGGGGTATCATTAACTTATTATTGACACCAGCTGCAGAATGCAAATTTAGTGCGTTTTAAATGCGGTGCAGGAAACGCACATGAAACAAGTTTCCTGCACCTCGTTCTGGTGTGAACCGCCCCTTTTAAAAGGATAATTTCACCTTTTCTAACATGTTACTCCCTGAATACAGATGTAACATGTTAGAAGAGGTGAACTTATCCTGTAGCCTCCCTGGCGGTATTCCCGAGTGTACTTCGGGGTAAAGTTTCAGTAACAAAAAGCGGTAACCCCGATCTACACTCAGGCTTACCTCCGGGATCTCTTCTTCTCTTACCTTGTCCTGCGCTCCCGCGATGTCCCTCCTGCAGTGTCCTCCGGCCATGTCCTCGGCCGATGCCGGCATCTAGCTTCTGGGTTCCGCCCCCTGCAACGTCGGAACGGTGGGAAATTTGAAAATTACAAAAAGTGACATTCACTAAAATCATAGTAAAACATTAATGTTTCAACCCATTTCACATACATTTTGTCCCGAGTGCTTTTCCGGCGCCCTGCCTGCATTTTTACTGTTCTTTCTGCCTGGAAACTGAGAAACGTCCATGGCGTCCAAAAAGCGTCCCTTTAGGTCAAAAGCGGTTTTAGACCGGCTAGAGAACAGCGATAGTAAATCAGAACCACTTATTTATTTATTGAGTTTATATAGCGCCAAAGGGTTTGCTCAGCGCCGTACAATAGAGGGGGGGACAATACATGAAACAGTACAGTAACATCAAACAGCACACAAGGGGTTAAGAGGGCCCTACTCTTTCGAACTTACAATCTAGGACTTGCAGAATTGAGTGATAATGATTCGTGGGGGAAATTCCTCATCAGACACTGAAAACAATTCTGCGACTTTGCTCAGCGATGTGCGAACTTGGCGCTATATTTCACATTTCAGTGTTTTTGATTTGATTATATTATTGAATTAAATTTATTGTTATTTTTTATGATTATTAATTATAATTTATGATTTCGTGTTTCAAATTTTATCATACCTGAATGTTTACTAGACCGGGTGTCGGCAACCCGCGGCTCCAGAGCCGCATGCGGCTCTTTTTCACCTTGGCTGCGGCTCCGGAGCACACTGACCACCAGGTGACAGGCAATAGGGCAGCAATAAAATACGGCCCGGCGGACCTTTTAATCCGGCCCGCGGAGCTAGGCTCCTCTCACAGTCCGCCCTGAAGACCGTGTAGCATGAAAATCTGTCTCCTAAAATCTGCGCATGTGCCGGAGATCGGCTGCTAATGCCTGAAACTGGCACATGCGCAGATACGTCGAGGGGGACAGATTCCTCATAGGAGAAGATTTTCATGCTACACCGGAACGGCGCGGGAAGAGAGAGGAACGCGTGGAGCAAGGTAAGTGAATTGACACAGGGAGGCTAATATGGGGAATGAATTACAGAAGGGGGGATGTGGGAAACTATATGGTTTTACTATATGGGGGCATTACTATGGGGGATGAATTACTACCGTATTTTCAAGTTTTTAAAAATGTGGCAAATAAATTTTCAATCGTGGTTTTGGCGAGATTTGTCAATGAGTTAAGGCTATGATGTGGCCTAGAGGCGCTGATTGACGATACACCAACTGCAGCGAGCCTGCACTTAAACCCCTTTTGTGACAGAGCATTTGCAGAATAAGGCAGTGTGACTTTTAAAATGTTGCAATGGTTTAGTGAGTTGTCCCAGTCTTTTTTTTTTCCCAACCCATGGCTCAGATGAAAAGGTTGCAGACCCCTGTACTAGACTCTTGTGGCACCGATTTCAGTGAGTTATTCCTAAAAATTACAGGTACAATATAAAAAAAAAATACATATTTCCATGCAAAACATTTACCGCTTTGAGCAGAGAAATGATGGACATGACCGCTAGGGCATGGGCCGGATCACTCCAGAATGAGTGTGTGGGCCCTGTTTTGTGTGCAAATCCCACACCGCATTCAAAACGCATTTTTTGCTCTGCAGCAGGTGTTAATGACCCCAAACAGCCTGCAACTTTTGTACATTTGCAGAAAGCATGTACTTTAGTGAGTTGTGGTGCAATTCCAACCCATTCCAGAAGAATGGGCTAAGTGGAGTTTACAGAAGTGAATCACACAGGACAACATTCCTGTGTGAACTGACATGCAGTTCCTAGTGTGAACTGGCCCCTAAAATCTTTCCTTAAGATCCTGAACAAAATGTACAAGCTGTCTACTCCGTGACACGAATGTTCAATGTGAGAGAACAAAAGGCAACAAACTGGGGGCCTGGATACTTTTGTTACTGAGCTGAAATTCGGTTCTGCATAGCAGTCAGGACCCAACAAATGTTTAATGGCTACTTTATTGCACACAAAGTGTAATGATCAATTTTTGAAGCGTAGTCTGTGAATGGAAAGATCCAAGATACAAATATTTCTCATGCCTGCATGACTGGACGAGCCTCTTTAGCTTCCAGCTGAACTCCGGATCCGGAAAATCCTGTGCCACCCTGCAAAGAAAACACACTTATTATCCTATGCAAAGTGAGAGAAATAAAGCAGCTTGCCCTGGGGGGCAATCCGTGCGAGGGGGGGGGGGGGGGGGGGGGGGGGAATTCAGGAATGCCATTGGGAGACCTGAGAGAACGATGGGAGGGACTGCTCTGTGCAAAACCATTACACAGAGCAGGTAAGTATAACATACCTTTAGTATTGCTTTAATGTTGAGCTCCATTTCTTTTACTTAAGGTTACGTTCACACTAGCCTTGTTTAGCAAGCGTCAGACAGGCGTTTGGGAAGCGTTTTTACTGTTTCCCAAATGCCTGGGAAAATTCTGCACATTGCAGCACATAGTGCTGTTCAAACGAGAAGGTTAGCATCGCGTCGCGGCAAAAATGGACGCCTCTGGTCGAGTCAGGAGTTGAAGCCTCCTATTGAAGTCTATGGTGCCGCTCCGCAAACTCCAGGCCGGCGTTTGCGATGCAGTTGCGGAGCGGTAACACCATTCAAACTTCATTGTAGGTGTTTGCCAAACGCCTAGCAACCGGTTCTAAACCGCGCATGTGGCGTTCGCGAAGCGTTAAACGCTCCGCAAACACCGGACCAACGCTGGTCAAATGCTATAGGAGCGTTTGGCAAGAGTTGGAAAAACAGTCGAGTGTGAACGAGCCCTAACTGTTCCCAGCTGGTGCAAAATATTTGAGAAAACAAGGACAAAAATGTGTGCATTAACCCCTTGCCTACCGGGCACTTATACCCCCTTCCTGTCCAGGCCAATTTTCAGCTTTCAGCGCGGTCGCACTTTCAAAGACAACTGAGCGGTCATGCAACATTGTACCCATATGAAATTTTTATAATTTTTTTTTCACACAAAATAGAGCTTTCTTTTTGTGGTAATTAATCGGCGCTGGGTGATTTTATTTTTTTTGCTATGAGGAAAAAAAAAACAAAACACATTTTTCTTTGTATCTATTATAAAATTTTGCAAACAGGTAATTTTTCTCCTTCACTGATGTGCTTTGATGAGGCTGAACTGATAGATGGCATGGACAGGCAGCACTGATTAGTAGGCACTGCTGAGTGGCACAGGTGGGCTGCACTGCTGGGCACTGATCATCAGCACCCTGATGATCAGCGCTGACAATTGCTGGTTCTCAGCAGTACTTTCCTCACGCTGTGACAGTGTGAGGAAAGTGCAGCCGAGAACCAGCAACTGTATTTACCTGGTGATATGCTGTGTCATTGGACACAGCTGATCACGTGGCATAAGGCCACCACAATTGGCCATTTACCGTACCCCGTGATCAGCTGTGTCCGTAGGACACAGCAAGCACCGACTGCACGCCGCTGGGGGAGTGTTCTGGAATGACATCCATGGACGTCATCCTAGGATTACACAACCGCGCTGCAGCTGTCCTTTGACTATAGCGCGGTTGGGAACCGGTTAAAAGTGGATTTTAGCATAAAAACACTTACAGTAAAATGATCATTTGAAAGCACATCTGAGGCACGCAGGGAATGTAGCAGCAATAAGTACAACAGTTCCTGGCCCGTGGCTGGGCTGAAAGATGGAAGTATCAGGCAGCAACTGCATAGAACCCATTGAGGCCCCAAAACACATTGTCCAGCATCATTTTCTGGAAGCACTTGCCTCCCCAAGCAACTGAATATAATGATCCTTTCATGTCTGCGCTCCGCCACTAGTCAATGACTTATTGCTGCATCCCTAGAGTGCCTCACGTGCTATTAGTTGATGACTTTTCTATAAATATTTTTAAGTTAATTACTTTTAAATGTACAAGGTTTGCACCCTTTTCTATGAGCTAACAATTCTTCGGATTCATTTCACAGTATTTGTGCGTCATTTTTTGCTTTAATGGAGCAAAATGCCTCTCTGCCATGCCAATAGCTGAAAAAAATTGGAGGGACTGTCCATCATTTCGGACCTTCTGTCAGTTGAACAAGCATTTGCTGTGCGGGAGTGTGCTCCAGCAACTCTCCATTTCTATATGTAAAAGAAGTACTGTATACTTCACCGACAGCTAAAACCAGGAGGAATGAAGCACTGCTGAATATCATTGGGGTACCAGCACAGTGTGGACACATTTTGAAACCTGGAAGCAACAGATTTATCTGTGTTTGTCGCCAATAGTAACCTACCCCATGCTGACTAGAAAATGACATGAAATCTGATGTATTGCTATGGGCAACATGTACATGTTTTCCTACTTCAGTTTTATAAATTATGTTAAAGGACCCTGGTACTACAGTGACTAAAGCAGAATATTAGGGTTGAACCATTATTGGCAACACAGGATGAAAGATCCAGTGTTGAAATCACAACACTACTTACAAGGATTTTTCCTCTTTCTCAACCAACAGGAAAGCATGTAAAGTTGCAAAACCTGGGTTGATTGTCTACGGTCTCCTTTGGCACAGACATTTTAAGTTCATATCTGGGTATTTATCATTCAGTATCCAGAAGGAAAAAAAAAACACTAACTACTTGCCTACCGGGCACTTCACCCCCTTCCTACCCAGGCCAGCTTTCAGCGCTGTCACACTTTGAATGACAATTGTGCGGTCATGCAATGCTGTACCTATATGACATTACCATTTTTTTGAGACAGATAGAGCTTTCTTTTGGTGGTATTTAATCACTACTGGGGTTTTTATTTTTTTCTAAACAAACCAAAAACTGAAAATTTTGAAAAAAAATTTTTTCTTAGTTTCTGTTATAAAATTTTGTAAATGAGTAATTTTTCTCCTCTACTGATGTGTGCTAATGAGATTGCAGTGATGGGCACTTATGAGGAGGCACTGGTGGGCATTGACAGACATCACTGACTGGCACTGAAATTACTGATAGTCAGCAATGACTGGCACTGATTGGCAGCACTCATAGGTGGCACAGATGGGCACTATATGGCATTGATGTGCACTGGTAGGCACTGACAGGTGGCACTGATGGGGCTACACTGATCATCAGGGCACTGATGATCAGTGTAGATGTCCCCTCTGAGAAATGCCAATTACCGGCTCTGACGCCAACAGCTTGCGAGGAGAGAAATGCCAATAACCGGCATTTCCTTATTTACATGCGAGCAGCTGTGATTGGACACAGCCGAAGTCATTGGCTCTTTCCGCTGATCAGTGATCTGCTGTGTCCCAGGGACACAGTGCACCACCGATCACCACGCTGTGCACCACCGGGGGCGCACACGAGTGGTTAGAGTGGGAAAAGAGAACCACTGCTGTCATTTCCTTATATGGCGGGTGGGAGGTGGTTAAAAACTCAAACTTTTTCAACTGTGTTTTGCAAAGCACAATAACTGGTGCCGAGACACAATGTTCTGAGGCTTAGGCCATGGTCCTATATAAGTTGTTAAAATACCTGAGAGCTGTACGTGAGTCAGAAATATTGTTTCTATATAGCACTGCTAATAAAGTGTGAAAAATAAAATGAATCAGCAATAATTTCAGGAGCTCCACAGCCTGGAAAAAGATGACAATCTACAAGGAATAAGGGAATGACACTTACCCTCTGCAAAACGATAATATCCTTCTCCATAAGCTTCTCCCCGCTTACTGGATCAGTCATATCTTTCTTGATCAACTTCTCCACACATTCCAATGTGACCACAACTCCCCTAAGACATCAGAAGAAGGTTAATAGAGAATATGTTACCCCAACATTTCATATTCCTGATCTGTGCCTGCTGTACCATGTACTTGTATGAAAAAGTCTCCTGTCCTCTTTGTATTGCTTCCTTTGTGTGAAATCCCTGGTGTTCCTGCCAGTCCCTCTGCTTTTCTGGCTGTGCCGAGAGAACATCCTGCATGCCCTCCAATGGCCAGACTTGTGCTGACTTCCCTCCCCGCACAGCCATTCACTAGGAAGATCAGTGTACTGCGGTTTTTCAATCACCAGCTCTCTAAGCCCCTTATGCAGCTGAGAGCAGAGAATATGTGATATATATATGAAATTAAATTTATAATGTGATATTAAGATAGAGATAGATATATATTTATTACAGGTACTTATATAGTGCCGTCAATTTACACAGCGTTTTGTGTGTGTGTATGTATGTAATATATATATATATATATATATATATATATATATATATAGCATTCACATCAGTCCCTAACCCTCAAGGGTGTACAATCTAAGGCCCCCAACTCACATTCATATATACACATACTAGGGCCAATTTAGACAGGAGCCAATTAACCTACCAGCATGTCATTTGGAGTGTGGAAAATATATATGTTTTTTGTTTGTGTGTGTAAGTAAAAAAAAAAACAAAAAAAACAAACAAACAAACATTTTGCCCTTCACAGGTTGTTTTACAAGGTAAGGATTCACTTTTACCTTTAGTACAAGAAAGATTCAATTGTTATTATTATTATACAGGATTTTTTATCGTGCCAACATTTTGCGCAGTGCTTTACAACATGAGGGCAGCCAGTACAGTTACAATACAATTTACTACAGGAGGAATCAGAGGGCCCGACTCGTTAGAGCTTGCAATCTAATACACCTATACAATTCTACATTCTGGGCTCTGTCTTCCATTATACTTGGTTTTTACTATTAAAAAAAAAAACTTTATAGATCTGTTTTTTTCACATTTATTCACCCTGATGGTTAATAATAAATATTCATAATAATGCAATAAATAAATCAAATAGTAAATTTACAAATGACAAGTCGATCAAACAATCTGCAGTACCAGTTATGTCCTGCAGGTGTCAGCCTAAATCTACCATCCAGACTAGTGACCCCAGATCCAATCACATATGGTCTGGGGTGAAGAAAGAAAAAAAAAAAAAAAAAAATGTCTAGACTGTAGACAAAAGAATGTCATAACCTCAATGAGAGATAAAACTGAATGAAACGAATGAATGAATCTTGTTGATGCAGTGCAAATGCAATTCATGTGTATGCAAAGAAATAAATGTTCCCCATTTCAAAGGTTACCTTGTCTCTCTCTTTTAAGTGAAAATGTTCAGTCTACAGTGAACTGCCAATGTGACATTTAGCTATAGATCAAATATGACCTACCCAGCAACGAAGGCCATTCCCTATGAAAGGCCTTTGCTAGAAAGCAATGAATGGGTGACGAAGACAATCCAGCTACAAATAGAAAAGCAGACATGACCTAAACAATGTTTATCTACCACACATGAGGCAAATAGGTCACAAACCCATCCTGTGTGAAAGGAAACGCAGTTTAACTGGTACAATTTGGTTTGTATACAGAGATTGTACATACAGTGATCTTCTAATTTACAGTCACCCTATTCTCATTGTTCTCAATTTTAACATTTGTTTAGCTTTGCAACTAAATTTTTCATATATATATATATATATATATATATATATATAAAAACATTTCCCCTCCACTATTCCCATGAAACAAGTATTGATATTCTGCCTGCAGCTTTTCTCCCCTTCATCCCTCCCACTTGCACTGATTGGATGGTGGTCTGTCATGCAGAGTACTAGTCACATGATACAAGGGTTTGGGATGCCTTCTTGTGCTTAATCAGGCTTCATATGATCTGAAACCCCATATGTTTAGGCCTCATTCAAAGAGGAGTACTGATACGTACACCTTTATCAGTGTTTCTCAACTCCAGTCCTCATGGACCCCCAACAGGTCATGTTTTCAGGATTTCCATTATTTTGCACAGGTGATTTGATCAGTTTCACTGCCTTAGTAATTACCACAGCTGTTTCATCTGAGGGAAATCCTGAAAACATGACCTGTTGGGGGTTTATGAGGACTGGAGTTGAGAAACACTGACCTATATGAAGGGCGGTCTTCACCTGTGCAAGGTGTTCCATGCAGCCCCATGCAATCAGCCTGTTCAAATCAATGACAGGTGGGCAGCTGCATGGACCTGCATGCACATCCTGGAGTAGATATAATGCGGGACTGATACACAGATCAGAATGGAGACAGACTGGGGTTTATTTACTAAAGCTGGAGAGTGCAAAATCAGACTCATTTCTGCATAGAAACCAATCAGCTTCCAGGTTTCATTGTCAAAGCTTCATTGAACAAGCTGAGGTTAGAAGCTGATTGGTTTCTATGCAGAAGGGAGTCTGATTTTGGACTCTCCAGCTTTAGTAAATAAACCCCACTGTGTCCTCATCTGTGCATTGGACCAATATGTTTTGTGTGTATACTCCAGAATGCGCTTAGGGATCAGTGCAGGTCCATGCAGCAGGCTATCTGCGCAGGACAGAGAAAAACAAACAGAGGGCGCACCGGCCTAGTGCATTACCTTAACCTCTTGGAGCCGGGCGAACGCAAATGTGCAGGCTCCCGGCGTCTGGGCCTAGGTGCCGAGCGGCCGCACATTTGTGTTCTATTACAACAAAAAAAAAAAAAAACACGTGCTGAGAGCGCGCCCTGCGCGCTCCCAGCACACGTTTAGTATTCACGGAAAGGTCCCAATCTCCTCTTTTGACCGGGACCTTTGCCGATCATGTGACCGCCGTGACAGCATGACACAGCGGTCACATGACCCTAAACCCCGCCCCACCTCCCGGCTTCTGAAACCCTTAAAGGGCAGGGAGGCGCCGGTGCCAAGGGGTTAAAAATGTTTCATGAATGTAAAGGCTCTGAGGAAGAGGCTAGTCCTCAAAACGCGTCAGCCTTGTGGATGTCCAAAGTTCTCACTACAGACAGACAAGCAGTGTGAATTGGACAGAGCTGTTCCTTTATGATGTGTCTTTTATTTATTGATCATTTGTGAGTATAATACGTATTATTCACATTCATTAAATATTTTTATGGTAATACACTAGGCCGGTGCGCCCTCTGTTTGTTTTTTTCTATTCAGTACTTTGGACTCCCCCGGTCCTTTGAGGGCAGCAAGGCGTCCATATTCCAAGAATTTCCATATGTGGTCTTAATGACATTGAGTCCATCCCCAAGTGCTGGAGTAGCTGGGTTCTCCACTTCTACATACCTGCACAGGACATCTGTGCATCCTGCAGGGGTGAAGATGGCTTTTTGCACCGATGTACAGATTGGTACCCCTGTGCAACTGACACCTAACCACTATATTTTTCCAAACTTTAAATTTACTGCTACCCCACATTGGGGTTTGATTAAGGCCCCTTCCGCACAGGAGGGAGTCCGCTTGCTCAGTGGGGGATCTGTCTGATGAGCAGGTGGGTGACTGGTCGGTGCCAGCTCCACTTATGCAGAGCAGACACAGCCTGTTCTCCTCTATGGAACGTCAGATGTAAACAGACCACCTGTCCATTTACACCCAGCTGGCATCCGACCCAATCAGACTGCTAGGTCTAAAACTGAAGAGTGCAAAACTTAGTGTATCTTGCAGTGAAACCAACCAGCTTCCATTTTTTTTTTTTTTGGTCAAAACTTAATAGAACAAGCTGAAGTTAGAAGCTGATTGGCTCCCATGCACAGCTGCACCAGATTTTCCACTCTCCAGTTTTAGTAAATCAACCCCATGGCATAAGGTGCTTCTGCTGTAATGACAATACTGTACTGTGACTTTTTTTTCCCCAATTTTCTGAAATTCGCTCAATTCTGCCTAGCCCCACTGTAAAATGTAACTGAAGGATTCTACTGCTGTTTTTTTTTTTTTGATGAAGAGAAAAGGAAAAAATGGTGTGCAAATCTTTTTAAATCACTTCATAGGTTTTGTTCCTCTTTTGCCATCTTTATAAAATGAGACACAGCAAGAAAAAAAAAATTCTTTGACTTACGAAGGCCGTAAAACTGCACAGGGTACAGAGTTGCCAAGCATGTCCCGCGTCACTGCACAAACGTATCGATCTTGACGGTTTATTAGACCGACCCGATCCACCTTTTCATCTACTTTAGTAAACTTTACAGTTATCAGGTCTTTCATCTTCAGAGGTTTTCCGCTCATTGGACAGTAAACATTCTTGTCCTGTCAGAAAACAGGAATGTGCATACAATGTGGAAATTGGTTTTGAATGGAGCTGCTACTGAACTAAAAATATCATGATGGTTACATACACATACTGCCAACACTACATGTATGTTAGCAAACTATTTCAAGTAACACTAAAGGCCCGGTTTTTTTTTTTTAATAAGAAATATGTCATACGTACCTGTTCTAATAGTTTTGGACAGAGCAGCCCCAATCCTCCTCTTCTCATGTCCCTCACCGGAGCTCCTGACCTATCCCCCCCTGTTGAATGCCCCCATAGCAAGCCTCTTGCTGTGGGGGCACTCAACAGGGGGGATAGGTCAGAGCTCCGGTGAGGGACATGAGAAGCAACCTAACTCTACCTCTTTCCATCTGACGGCATCAGAGGCTGCATGTGAATTGGCTGATCCTTTATTGTACTGCTCTGGAGAGGGTTCCTGTTGTGCCAGTATCTACCAGTGAGAGTGATTATCCATTGCTGTACCTGATACCTTCTGGATGTAGGTCCTGGTTCTTGGTTGTCGTATGTACTCTCCAGCGCCTCAGGATATGCACAGCCAAAAGGGAAGCCAAGGGTACCAGGACAGCGACAACCAAAAGGAAATGCTTCAGGGGTGCAGCCCTCCTCAGACGGGGAAATCAGCCACTGGATAGAGAAAACAGGTGGCACACACACCTAGTGCATTATCCAAGATTTATTGTAGGAGTGAAAGAATAATAGAAATCATACTCACAGACGAAGCATGCATCTAAAAAGCATAGAAAAATGACAATGGCCACAACGGCAGGCAAGGTGTTCTCACTGTCTCGCTGCATCAACAGCAAGGCTCCTACTTTCCATTCATCATACATCTGCATCAGAGGTTGGTCATCAGCTCTGAGGAAAGGGATTCGTCCCCGAAACGCGTCAGCCATTTGACTGCACTGACAGTGAGAACACCTTGCCTGCCGCTGTGGCCATTGTCATTTTTCTATGCTTTTTAGATACATGCTTCGTCTGTGAGTATGTTTTTATTATTCTTTCACTCCTACAATAAACCTTGGATAATGCACTAGGTGTGTGCGCCACCTGTTTTCTCTGGTTCCTGGTTGGTGCGATATTGTGTGAGAAAAGCTTTTTGGCCCTGTAGGGTCACTCCATGGAGGTGAGAGGGGGCATTTCGCCTAGTTTTGGATCTCCTCCTTTTTTTGTGTGTATTCACCTTTTAACACCTGCACCATTTAGAACTACAGAACACCTTCACCGTTTACGGTGCATTGGATTTTAGGTTATTGGCTGGACTATATGGTTTTTATGTGATTTAATATTTGTTGGGTCATTTATATATTTTGGGGGCCATTTCTAGTCCGTGTAGTCTATGTCACTTATCAACATATTTATTCACAAATCCGTTTTAAGGTTCACTGATTTTGGTTTTTCACTTTGGAAAATCCATTTTCACTATTATCACTTATAATCTGTATGTTTTTTGTTTAGATTATCTTCCTTAGCAATTTTTCTAGTTGCGTCGCACAAGTCTTGTGGCTTATCTTCACATTACAACAAGCACTGTCTTTTTGGGATCCTGTTTTATGGATCATATCACTTTTTATGTTGGCACGTTCAAATAGATATTAAGTAGTTTTGTTTTCACCCACAGTCACCTATTTATGGTGGTCAGTGGTGTACCTAAGTTACGCCCTTTTATGTTTGGGCGTTTTTCACTTTTACTATCCAAATTTTTGGACGTTTTGGGGTTTATTTACTAAAGCTGGAGAGTCCAAAATCAGACTCCCTTCTGCATAGAAACCAATCAGCTTCCAGGTTTCATTGCCAAAGCTTCATTGAACAAGCTGAGGTTAGAAGCTGATTGGTTTCTATGCAGAAAGGAGTCTGATTTTGGACTCTCCAGCTTTAGTAAATAAACCCCTTTAGGTCCTTTTTTTTTTTTTTTTTTCATATTGAGGCCTGGTGTTAATTTTTGATTTGATTTATATAACCACTTTGTTTGTTTATATTTATGAATTATTACATTGTGAAGGGAACTTCTTTTAGGTGATCATATTGTATGTTCTTCTAATACTTGGAGATCGCGCAGCACCAATTAGCCTTAAATTTGTACATTTCCCCATGTGGTATATGGTAAGGTGTTTGTGGCTTCTCGGAATTTGTTTTGGGGGTCAGTAGCGTGGGAGGATCACATAAATATAAATACACTGTGCAGTTGCTCCATAGCTTAGTAAATGAGGTAAAGCTTCACTTTGCAAAAAAAAAACCCAGTAACATGCAAAGAAAATGAAAAACATTTTTGCTTCCACATGATTGGATGATAGAAATCAGCAGAGCTTCCCTTCATTTCAGAACTTTCCGTCAAATTTAGAGCAACTGCTCTTACAGTGCACCTGTAGTGCAAGTATATCTGCCTTTAGTAAATCAACCCCACTGTGTTTGAATGCAGGCTGTGATGTATCTATTATTAAATGTGCAACAGAATGGAGGGAATTTGCTAAAACTGGTGCACTCAGAATCTGGTGCAGCTGTGCATGGTAGCCAATCAGCTTCTAACTTCAGTTTGTTCAATTAAGCTCTGGCAATAAAACCTGAAAGCTGACTGATTTCTAAGCAGAGCTGCCCCAGAAATTGCACTCTCCCGTTTTAATAAATATTCCCCAATGCAGGGGCGGACTGACAACTCATGGGGCCCCCGGGCAATAGGGGATCATGGGGCCCGTGTCCTTGCCCAAACTCAAAAAAGCCTATGAAAAAGGTACCAGGGGCATCTCATGGGGCCCCCTACTGACCCCGGGCCCTCGGGCAGTGCCGCCCCTGCCCCAATGTATTCTACAGTGATAAGACAGTTACATTTTTGTATTAGCTGCCTGGAGTTCAGGTTAAAACTATTTGTGTTTAATTGAACTGCCTTGTCTCCTATGAAGTGAATAAATTAGGAACATCTATTTGTATAAATAAATTGTTTTTTGTTTGAATTTAGGATACTCACTGGCTTCTTCACAAGTGTGGATTTGGCCTCTGGTGTCAGGGATGGGATCCAAAAGCTGGGGAGCTGCTTGTTTTTATCCTCACTGCTCTGCTGACTACTGCTGGCCTCCTCTGCTGAGCCATTACTCTCTTAAAACAAAAACAAATAAAAAAAAAAAAAAACAAACACAAAAAAACTTACAATTAATATTATGATTACCTCGAAGTTTTCACAAAAAGAAAACAAAGAAAGCACACGCAAGATCATCATGTGCATCAGATGATATTTGGGAACCCATAAAACCCCCCTTTAAATCACCAGGCAGCCAAACTAAGGGAGAAACTCTCAGACTGAAATATGAATAAAAAGCTTGGCGTGACAGGTGACACAGGAAGCTATTAAAAAAGAAAAAAAAAAAAACACAATAACAAGAAATAGTGGTGTCACTCATTTCCATTTCTTCTGCCCCTCCCAGCGCACAAATGGCTGCCTTGGGTGGTGACGCTGCCTATGTACACACTATTCTCAACACACACGGTCTTGTTAAATGGCTATGGGCAGGGGCGGACTGAGAACTCATGGGGCCCCCGGGCAATAGGGGATCATGGGGCCCCTGTGTCCTTTTCCAAACTCAAAAAAGCCTATGAAAAAGGTACCAGGGGCATCTCATGGGGCCCCCTACTGACCCCGGGCCCTTGGGCAGTGCCCGAGTTTCCAAATGGTCAGTCCGCCCCTGGCTATGGGTGTAAGTGGGTGCTGCAGCGACCACCGTCTGGAGACCGCAGACGTTCAAAGCAAGATGTCTGTCACCAGCACACCAAGGATCTTCAGAACAGGTCCAAAGATTTAGTGATCACATCATAAATACACTAGGCAATCTTCACATGCCTGGTGAAGGGGTCCTTAGTGGCTCCGAAACATTGCCTCTGTATTTATGATGTGATCACTAAATAAAGCTTTGAACCCGTACTGATCCTTGGTGTGCTTGTGACAAACTTTTTGGTGCCCGTGTCCATGTGCACCCCCCCACACATACAAGCACACACAAAAGCAATCAGCTCAGTGACACGGAGTCTGTGAAAAGTGCAGGCTCAGCATTATTGAGCAGAGTTTCCTGCTCCGCCACTGTGCCTGCCACACAAGTAGGTGCAGTGGCTGGCAGCAACATGCTCAGTGATGCTGAACCTGCATTTTAACAGGCTCCACATCACTAAAGAGATCTGGCTCCTTCAGAGAAGCTTCGGTGTAGTTTTACCAGGCTGAGCATTTCTTAGGACAGAGTGTGTGGTAGCAGATCTAAAAAGTGGCTGAAAAGAGTTACATGCCCCTTACCAATTAAAAAACCTCATGCTTTCTAAAAACATATGGTTTATAGGATTGGGGAGTCTTTAGCAAATGTAACTTAAATGGAAGGTACCATTGGCAACAAAAGATTTAAACAGCCACAAAATGTATGTCATCTAATATGCATCACCAGTTGATGGGATGAGTTAAAGTGATATTAACCTCCCTGGCGGTATGATTCTTTCCGATTTTTTGTGCTGAAAGCGGTACCATTATTTTGCATGGAAATATGTAGTTTTTTATTGTAGGCTGTAATTTTTAGGAATAACTCACTGAAATCTGTCCGAACAAGAGTCTAATAAACATTCCGGATATGATAAAATTTGAAACCACGAAATCATAAATTATAATTTAATAAATAATCATAAAAAATAATAATATAATAATAATAAAATTTAACTCAATAATAAAATCAAACCAAAAACACTGAAATTTGAAATACAGAGGCAAATTCGCACATCGCTGAGCAAAGTCACAAAATCGTTTTCAGTAGTGTCTGATGACGAATTTCCCCACAAATCATTATCACTCAATTCTGCAAGTGGTTCTGATTTACTATCGCTGTTCTCTAGCCGGTCTAAAACCGCTTTTGACGTAAAGGGACGCTTTTTGGACGCCATGGACTTTTCTAAGTTTCCAGGCAGAAAGAACATTCAAAATGCAGGCAGGGGACAGGACAAAGCAGTAGGGACAAAATGTATGTGAAATGGATTGAAACAGCAATGACAGCAAAAATTACATTTTTAAAAAAATTTCAAATTTCCCACCGGTTCCGGCGCCCATACGTCCCGACGTCACAGGGACCGGAACACATAAGCCAGATGCCGGCATCGGCCGGAGGAGATGGCCGGGGACGCTGCAGGGGACACATCGCGGGAGCGAAGGACAAGGTAAGTGCTGCAGGGACCCCCAGAGCAACGCCGCATGGTAAGCCCGAGTGTAGCTCGGGGTTACCGCTCTTGGTATAGAAATTTTACCCCGAACTACACTCGGGAATACCACCAGGGAGGTTAAAAGGCTTAATTTTTTTTTCTAAATAACAAATATGTCATACTTACCTGCTCTGTGCAAAGGTTTTGTACAGAGCAGTCTAGAGCCTCCTCTTCTCGAGTCCCCCCCCTGGCGCCCTGGGTTCTTCCCCCCCCCCCCATGTGTGCCCCCTGAGCATTTAGCTTGCTCTGGGGGCATACGTGCGTGCTTGCTCCCAAGTCCATAAGACACAGAGAAGAGTTCGACCCCACCTCTGCTCCCTCCTTACTGCCTATGTTTGACAGCAGTGGGAGCAAATGGCTCCAGCTGCTGTCTCTGAGCCAATAAGGAGGCAGAGAGCTGGGACAGCAGCCGCTCTCATGGACATTGCTGGATCAGGTAAGTATTGGGGAGGCTGCAGGTTCATAAAGTATAATGAAGATTTTGTTTACCTTCACAACCACTTTAACAACCCTGCAGACTGCACCAACAATAGTACATACAAATATATGATTGGCAAAGAAACAAAAGATTTCACTATACCCATTTTCTTTGAGAAGGGGTTGAGTGGTTTACTGATGATGGACATTTCCTTGTCAAGAAACACTTTCATTTTGGACTCTTTTGCAGCTTTGCTTAATTCTTCCATTTCTGCCTTCTTCTCATTCTTCTGCTTGTCATACAACTGTGTGATTATAAAATAAAAATTAAAAAAAAAAACAAAAAACCGAAGGATTCTGTCTTCCGTCGAGCAGCAATTTTCATACTACACAGTTTGGAAAGTTGCAGCAATTTGGTTGTCAGAGTCCAGATAATATTCACTCTGCATAACAGCACATTTTGTTACATTTTATATAAAGCCATTACAGGTGTGGATTGTGCATCTGAAATGGCTGTGATTTAGCCAATTTCAAGAGAACAGATTTATCCTATAATCAGGACATTATTCAACTAATAAAACTGACCCATGTCTCCTGTACTTCTTGCATGCTTCCCTAAACGAGGTACGTAGACAAGATAAAGGGACTATGATGCACATATGGTGGCTGTGCCCCTGATTGCTCCTTTTTGGCAAAAGGTTTGGTAGCGGATTTTCTGAATACCGGAAACCAAAGTTACACTTACACCGGCATGTTGCTTGCTGCATACTTCTACTCACCCCCTAAGGCAGTAAAAGACACTTCCTGACTAAGCATCTGTTAAAACGCAGCCAAATCCCTAATCCCTAGTACTGAAAATTGCCTTATACCCTGACGGTTAAAGACTGGGTGCATAGAGTGGACTCTATATGATATGGAAGAAATAATGGCTATGGCTAGAGAAAAACTTTAAAATTCCATAAATTGTGAACAGCATGGTTCCTGTTCCAATATTCTGCTGAGTATTTGTCAGGGATCACCGCCGCAAAGGGCTCGGCACAGTGCACCGCCCTGTGATGGAATGCGGGCACTGAGACCTGGCCGACCGCGGCGAGTGAGTTTGCGCATGCGCAGTAGGGACCGCGGGCGCGCGCGTGGCACCAATGACAGCGCAGGGCGGGATATTCAGTGCCTTCTGGTCTTACCTGTATCCTGCGAACCTGTACCTAGTAAGTTGTTGACCCGGATTGTTCTTGACCTGCTGATTTCTCCTGCCCAGACCCTTGCTTTGCCTGACCTCTCTCCTGAATGCCCCCCATTAAATCTGACCTGCTGTTGCCGACCTGGCGTGTGACCCGACTATTCTCTGCCCGTTGCCTTGTACCGTACCGTCCTCTCTGTTACCGACTCTGCCTGTCTGACTTCGCACTTGCTCAGCCATCCATCCATCGCATCGGGGTCACCCGACCTCCTCATATCAGGCTCTCCCCTGTTGGAGCCCCTGGCGAACACCCCTACCACTGACGGGTGTACTCAGTAGTCGCGACCTGGTCTCGGGGTACTCCAAGTCCATCCCCACCATCAGGGGCCTTGGTGAACAAGTACTCTGGGGCTTAGATTCCGCGCTCTGGGGACACCTGATCAGTGGAGTGCTAGTGGTGCCGTCAGGCGGTCCCTTACAGTATTATCAAATACTCCCTTCCAGGTTTTTTTTTGTAAAAGCTTAATTGAACATGTTGAAGTTAAAAGCCAACTGGCTACCATGCAGAGCTGCACCAGATTTTGCATTCCCAATCCCATAGAGTTCTAACTAACTGGTTTCTTTTGTTAGGATTTGGCAATGTCTTCATTTTGCTAGTAGACTCTTATATCTTCTCTTTAGTTTATTTTTCTTCCTGAATTCTCTAAGATTTAATTTACATTTTGTTTTTATCCTCTTAGTTTACCCTTCGCTGACTGTCTCAAGTCGTCATTCATTAGTGCAAACTTACCACTCTCGAATAATTATCCCTCTTAGGGATTAAATTATCTGGATTGATAAACTAAAATGAGTGCAGAATATGGAATTGAATATATTTCTTAATGTTTATTTCTATTGAATGCTATTTTTCCATGCCATTCTGACACTGCACAAAGTCATTTATTGGACTGAACTGTAAAAAGTGGACCAAAAGAGACCATTGCCCAAAGCAACTACTGTATTTTTCGCTCCTGACCATAACACGCACCTAGAATTTAGAGGAGGAAAACAATAAAAAAAAAAATTCTGAACCAAAGAACTGCGGACACAGTACAGGAGATGACCAGAGACTGCGGACACAGTACAGGAGATGACCAGAGACTGCGGACACCGTACAGGAGATGACCAGAGACTGCGGACACCGTACAGGAGATGACCAGAGACTGCGGACACAGTACAGGAGATGACCAGAGACTGCGGACACCGTACAGGAGATGACCAGAGACTGCGGACACCGTACAGGAGATGACCAGAGACTGCGGACACCGTACAGGAGATGACCAGAGACTGCGGACACCGTACAGGAGATGACCAGAGACTGCGGACACCGTACAGGAGATGACCAGAGACTGCGGACACCGTACAGGAGATGACCAGAGACTGCGGACACAGTACAGGAGATGACCAGAGACTGCGGACACAGTACAGGAGATGACCAGAGACTGCGGACACAGTACAGGAGATGACCAGAGACTGCGGACCTAGTACAGGAGATGAGCAGAGACTGCGGACCTAGTACAGGAGATGAGCAGAGACTGCGGACCTAGTACAGGAGATGAGCAGAGACTGCGGACCTAGTACAGGAGATGAGCAGAGACTGCGGACCTAGTACAGGAGATGAGCAGAGACTGCGGACCTAGTACAGGAGATGAGCAGAGACTGCGGACCTAGTACAGGAGATGAGCAGAGACTGCGGACCTAGTACAGGAGATGAGCAGAGACTGCGGACACAGTACAGGAGATGAGCAGAGACTGCGGACACAGTACAGGAGATGAGCAGAGACTGCGGACACAGTACAGGAGATGAGCAGAGACTGCGGACACAGTACAGGAGATGAGCAGAGACTGCGGACACAGTACAGGAGATGAGCAGAGACTGCGGACACAGTACAGGAGATGAGCAGAGACTGCGGACACAGTACAGGAGATGAGCAGAGACTGCGGACACAGTACAGGAGATGAGCAGAGACTGCGGACACAGTACAGGAGATGAGCAGAGACTGCGGACACAGTACAGGAGATGAGCAGAGACTGCGGACACAGTACAGGAGATGAGCAGAGACTGCGGACACAGTACAGGAGATGAGCAGAGACTGCGGACACAGTACAGGAGATGAGCAGAGACTGCGGACACAGTACAGGAGATGAGCAGAGACTGCGGACACAGTACAGGAGATGAGCAGAGACTGCGGACACAGTACAGGAGATGAGCAGAGACTGCGGACACAGTACAGGAGATGAGCAGAGACTGCGGACACAGTACAGGAGATGAGCAGAGACTGCGGACACAGTACAGGAGATGAGCAGAGACTGCGGACACAGTACAGGAGATGAGCAGAGACTGCGGACACAGTACAGGAGATGAGCAGAGACTGCGGACACAGTACAGGAGATGAGCAGAGACTGCGGACACAGTACAGGAGATGAGCAGAGACTGCGGACACAGTACAGGAGATGAGCAGAGACTGCGGACACAGTACAGGAGATGAGCAGAGACTGCGGACACAGTACAGGAGATGAGCAGAGACTGCGGACACAGTACAGGAGATGAGCAGAGACTGCGGACACAGTACAGGAGATGAGCAGAGACTGCGGACACAGTACAGGAGATGAGCAGAGACTGCGGACACAGTACAGGAGATGAGCAGAGACTGCGGACACAGTACAGGAGATGAGCAGAGACTGCGGACACAGTACAGGAGATGAGCAGAGACTGCGGACACAGTACAGGAGATGAGCAGAGACTGCGGACACAGTACAGGAGATGACCAGAGACTGCGGACACAGTACAGGAGATGACCAGAGACTGCGGACACAGTACAGGAGATGACCAGAGACTGCGGACACAGTACAGCAGGAGATGACCAGAGACTGCGGACACAGTACAGCAGGAGATGACCAGAGACTGCGGACACAGTACAGGAGATGACCAGAGACTGCGGACACAGTACAGGAGATGACCAGAGACTGCGGACACAGTACAGGAGATGACCAGAGACTGCGGACCTAGTACAGGAGATGACCAGAGACTGCGGACCTAGTACAGGAGATGACCAGAGACTGCGCACACAGTACAGGAGATGACCAGAGACTGCGCACACAGTACAGGGGATGACCAGAGACTGCGCACACAGTACAGGGGATGACCAGAGACTGCGCACACAGTACAGGGGATGACCAGAGACTGCGGACACAGTACAGGGGATGACCAGAGACTGCGGACACAGTACAGGAGATGACCAGAGACTGCGGACACAGTACAGGAGATGACCAGAGACTGCGGACACAGTACAGGAGACAGAGACTGCGGACACAGTACAGGAGATGACCAGAGACTGCGGACATAGTACAGGAGATGACCAGAGACTGCGGACATAGTACAGGAGGTGACCAGAGACTGCGGACCTTTGGGGGGGGGGGCCTATACCCTAATTTGACAGGTACCCTCTCCCACTTCTGCGGAGTTGTGTAATCTTGTTGGACATGTGTGACGGGTCCCACAAGACTACGGGGCCATTCACAAAGTGCAGCGCTTTTTTGCGCATGTGCAGTGGGCACCCGGCTGTGAAGCCGCAAGCTGTCACAGCCGGGTGCCCACACTGAAGATGCCGGAATGAGGGAGAGAAGGCGGGCGATGGAAGCAGGACACCGCTGGATCGAGGAACAGGTAGAACCAAGGAGCAGGTTCTTCACTGTAGAGCCGAGCGGCCGGCCCCGTATTCTAACATGGTGGTGGCGGGAATACCAGGCCGGTCGCTCCATAAGATGCACAGACATTTCCCCCCCCATTTTTGGGGGGAAAAAAGTGTGTCTTATGGAGCGAAAAATACGGTAATCAAGTGTTAGCTTTCTCTACAGTATAAAACCAAGACTGAAAGAGAAGACATATGGAAGCCAACTCTTGCTACAGACAACTGTGCCATTTTAATAGGAAACAATTGTAATCAACCACTGGATGCTTTATAGTGAATAAAGAGGAAGTGGTGCTCCTAAAGAAGAGTAGGCTCTTGTCCCCCCCGCCACTGTATAATGCCTGAGCGACCTAGCAGACATGCGGAGGAACATGCCGACAGCAATGCAAATAGATAGTCAGCCTTTTCATTGCAACAAAATATCAAGCACAAGGTATGTCTTGTCAGTTTTATGCTTTCGCCAATAGTTTGGATCCTATACTAAAAAGAATATGGAGGCCAAGCTTGTCCCCAGGCTGTAAAAAAGAAGATGGCCCCCTCTCTCTGGAGGTGCCCAGTCCTGGCAATGTGTATTTATTTTTTAACTGTTAGCATGCATTTCTATGTAAGGGGAAAGGGGGGCACTGTTAATCCCACTTTCTGCTCGCTAAAAAGTCAACCTAAAATTAATATTCAGTAACCCTGTAAATCACTAAAGACACAGAGCTTATGATTCCATAACCTCAAATTTTCTAAACATTTTGTAAGAGAACTGCACGACACGCCTATGAACTACAAAACATTTAGGTGATTTGCACGACTGTGTCCCTTTCCTGGCAGCTGATAACGTTTTTTGAAATATGGTAGCATTATAAGAAAAACAAGAGGCCTATTTGCACCATTGACAATTTGATATATATTCCCTCTTGTGCAATCCCACCATAACCATATTTCACCTTCATCTGACGAGCAATTTCTTTCTTCTGGTGCAAGATGTATTCCAAGATGGCTTCTTTCTCATAGATGTATCCGTCTGGCCTGCATAGATACGTATCAGGAGAAACTGTTATTTATAGCAGCATGGTATAGCCAGCCAGTAAATATTTAACTGTGTTTTCTATGTCTAGGAAAATTATTTTGCTTGTTCATAAAGCTGTGTTCCCTTTTGCAGTATTTTAGATCCACTAGGTGGATCCCTTTGATGCGTTTTGTGTGCACGCACGTTCTCAGAGAGGAGCCTACATGCTGACGTCACGCCGCAGCATCCACCTTATGATCCAGCAGCCATCTTTCGGTATCATACTATTTTGGCATCCTTTGTTGGGGCTCTTGCTGAGCCTTACCACCGACAGAGCCCACCTAGAAAGGAGGTGAGAGGTGCTGCATTCCACTGATGACCCAGAAGGAAGTCCATACTGGGATAGAGGTGTTCACAAGAGGATCCAGCTGGCCCACTGAGATGTAATTTTTCTCAAATGCATGATGGAATTATGCATCTGGTGAGAGTGCGTAATTCTATTATTTGATCACCAGAAGATACACAGAGGATCACTTCATTTGAAGCCTCACATTTATTGTTATACAGACTTTGTCACTTATAACACCATCTTTACTTTCCTGGATGTGCGTTTGCACTATTGCCACTTTATCTTTTACCTGCATTTGGGAACATTTGTCACTTTATGGTTTTACCTGTGATGATTGATTCATCACTTACGTTGTTAGCATCTGCACTTTATAATTTCATTAATGATTGCATTATATTAGATTTATGATTCTAGCACTGCACCTTAATATATCAGCTGGTCTTAGAAGGTTGTTGGTGCCTTTCGGTGTTAGAGCAGCTCACCTTTAGCGCTCACTTATATGCCGTTTTATCCTTGTTACAGTATTTTAGAGAACCTGCAACCATATACAGTAAGTATCTGTCCAACAGAGCTTTCAGTCCAATATTTACTGTGGACTTTGCTGACTAGAACTTGCCAGACATATTAAGGCTAGGTTCACACTTTTGCGGCTTTGTGAGAGCATGGCAACCCACTCATTTGGATGGGTTGCTGTGCCTTCGTTTCACACAGGTAAAAGGTTCCTGCAGCAATTTGAAATCGCAGTTGCACAATACGATTTCCCTATGGTGCCCGCATTCGCAAATGCATTGTGTTCTTAAATGTGCGGGGATCCTATTAAGAATGAATTGCAGATCTGAATATTTTTAAAGAGCAGTGCATTTTGACTGCGGGAGGTTCTGGGTGCGGGAACAGCTGTGATTCCGACACCCGCAATAGTGTGAATCTAGTCTAAAGTTGTTCTAAAGCCTTAAGGTTTTTTACCTTAATGCATTCTATGCATTAAGGTAAAAATCCTTTAGTTTTTTTTTTTGGTAATTCTATTATTCAATTTTGCATAAAAACAGACACAGAAACTTAACATTGTGCCTCACAGAGCACCAAACATAATACAGGCTTCACAAGGCCCTGAACAATTACAAGAAGAACAGTAGAACTAACTTGTATTGATATCCAAAAACAGGGACCGACTAATGGGACTAAGAGAACCTAATTCCCCCCCACCCGCACCTCCAATCCAATTATTATTATCCAGGGAGATCCCTCCAACAGTGTATCGCCCTCCAACCAACAACTAATAGTAACACAGGAGAAAATAAGGCAGGTAAAATCTCTCATCCTGGCCATCACAGGCATCACTATAAGGGCTCGTTCACACTAGGCTGTTTTGCCAACGCTTGCCAAACGCCCCTATAGCGTTTGGCAAGCGTTGGTCCGGCGTTTGCAGAACGTTTTTTAACGCTCGGCAAACGCTCCGCAAACGCCGCATGCGCGGTTTAGCGGCGGTTGCTAGGCGTTTGCCGAGCGTTAATAACGCCCCACAAACGCCTATAATGCAGTTTGAGTGGTGTTACCGCTCCGCAAACGCCCCGCAACCGCGTCGCAACCGCACCGCAAACGCCGGCCGGGCGTTTGCGGAGCGGCACCATGGACGAGAATAGGAGGCTTCAAAGCCTCCTGACTCGTCCAGAGGCGTCCGTTTTGCCGCGACGCAAACGCTCCCGTTAGAACAGCACCATGTGCTGTAATGTGCAGAATTGGCAGAGGCGTTTGGGAAGCGGTAAAAAAAAACGCTTCCCAAACGCCTCTCTGCCGCCTGCACACAAGGCTAGTGTGAACGTAGCCTAAGAGATTGTGAGGAATACTCACATGGCTAACAGGTATTTGGAATTTGTAAGAGACCTCAATATAATACCATGTGGTCTACCCTGTCGTAGCAGAGGAGGAAAGCCATGCTTGCCAGACTTTGTTAAACTTCTTTGCACAACCCGTAGACAGGTAAGTGACCTTGTAGTAAGGGATCATCGTATTTACTAGACCTTTTCAGAAGGAGACCTTGGGGGCAATGGGTGTCTTCCAGTGATAGCCTTTTCTGCCAATATAATAGCCTTACGAGCATAGAATAATAGGTTGTTGAGAAGGGTTCTATGGGCATTGGTCGGAACCACCTCATCCACCAGGTCCAGGAGGTATACAGAGAGAGTCAGGGGGAATGAGAACCTCCGTGATACACAATGTAACATTCTTCCAGAAAACAGTAATGGGCTGGAAAAATCCTTCAGTTGCAGAGGATCCCCCTCACCCACACTATACTCACCTGAGACCAATCTTGAAACAGCTCTACGAGTGAGAGCTGCAGCTCTAGCAGCTCTGTCCCTTCTCAATGGGCAGACTGATAGCAGCGGGAGGCATTAGCCAATCAAATCCTATGATGTGAGAGTGGGGGCAGGGCCGAGCCCCACTGTCTGTGTCAATAGACGCAGACAGGGAGGATCAGGAGTGACCCCGCATGAGTGCCCCCATAGAAAGCAGCTTTCTATGGGGGCACTGGGCAGGGGTGGAGGAGCCAGGAGCACTGGCAGGGGACCCAAGAAGAGGAGGATCAGGGCGGCTATAATAAATAAATATACATATAATTTATTTTTTTTTTCCCTTGCATTGTAGCAATGATGAAAGAGGAGTTTGGGAACCCACTGAACGTATCAGCATTTTCATATTATTGCTCTTTCAAGAAAATATCTTTCTGGACTTCATCGTCACTAATGGTGGACCCTTGTTAAGTTCTGCAAATTCAGAATTTAAACAGTGGCATCCTACAGCCCCTGCTGGGAACCCGAGTTGTGCCAGGCAGCAACCGACCCTACATAACCGATTCCTTTTATGATATTCTAAGCTATGTGCAAAGAAGGCAGAACAGTCAGTGGGCCTCAATGATGCCCTATATTTGACATGTGGTTCATTTAATACTCACGTTACCACAGGATCTTTACATGGCTGAAGGGATAAGCAGCAGCAATCAAAATCCTTCACAGCATCTTTGCTGAGACGAACAGTTTGTGTTCCATATCCAGAAGCAGCTGAAAAAAAAAAAAAAAATGTTTAAGCAGTGTTTCAATTCAGTCCCAGCAGGAATTTCTAAAAACAGGACCTTCTTCTAGAATGATTGGAAAAAAAAAAAACAAAAAAAAAAAAAAAACCTATCAAGCTGAACCTGAAATTGCCATTTTATATTTACACAAGTATTTAATGTACCTGGCCCCAGGGGCGGACTGACAATTCATGGGGCCCCCGGGCAATAAGGGATCATGGGGCCCCTGTGTCTTTGCCCAAACTTATGTAGTCCTAACCAGGGGCGTCCCTAGGGTTGGTGCAGGGGCGGACTGACAACTCATGGGGCCCCCGGGCAATAGGGGATCATGGGGCCCCTGTGACCTTGCCCAAACTCAAAAAAGCCTATGAAAAAAAATACCAGGGGCATCTCATGGGGCCCCCTACTGACCCCGCGCCCTTGGGCAGTGCCCGAGTTTCCAAATGGTCAGTCCGCCCCTGCCTGGCCCATACAAGGCAAACATCAGGATTCCTAGCTCGACAGCTTCTGATTGGTTTATTTCATGTGCTCCCCCACTGTCATGTTTTCCCACAAAGCCCCTCAAAAATCAGAGTGCACAGATTGGGTTGGGTCGGAGCCTCCACAGGGTTAAAAAAAAAACCTCATAACTGTTAGTGCACAGTAGAGAAATCCTCTTGTTGATGGGATTTTAAAGGCACAGGCTCATCAAATATTGGACTGCTAGGTACCAGTCTCCATAACTGTTAGTGCCATTTTTCTGCCAGGGCTCTGACGGGTGACTAGGATGCTGAGGAAGCAAGTAAAAGTAGGTACAAGTGCCCAACGGTCCTTGAATGGACAAGTATCAGGGGTGGCCAACCTGCGGCTCTCCAGCTGCTGCAGGACTACAAGTTCCATCATGCCTCTGCAAGTCAGTAACTTCCCATCTTTGCAATGCCTCATGGGAAATGTAGTTCCACAACAGCTGGAGAGCCACAGGTTAGCCACCCCTGGACAAGTTACCGATTCATTTTACAGATGCACCTTATGAAGTTTGACTTGCATATTTGCTGCAGGTCAGTAACCCACTAAGTAGTGAAGCAGAGAAGGAAAACAGGTCAACAATGGTATTTCAAAAAGTATTTCTACTAATTCATTTTTGACAGGTCCTCTAAAATCTGCGTCACAGGATTGTGTCACCTCAGTTGTTCTGACTGCAAGAAATCCTCCCTTTCACATCAGATTAAGGGTGTGCTAGCAACAAATCCTTTATCTGCTTGCTGTTGCTTCAGCACTCTGTAATTGGGGTGTATGTCAGTTTGGTGTGTGATGAAGATACCTTTATGTTTGCAGAATGAATGACTCAGTCGGGGCTGACATCAAAACATCAATAGTGTGTAATCACGCAATGGGGTTGATTTACCAAAGGCAAATTGACTGTGCTCTTTGCAAGTACTGTTGTACTCACTTCCCTTAGTAATTGTAATGTGGTAAAGCTTCACTTTGTACAGAATATCCAATCAGGTGCAAGGAAAATTTAAAAATGCATTATTGCTTGCACATGATTAGATGATTAACCACACTTTACCACATTTACTAAGCTCTGAGTGCATCAGGACTTGCAGAGTGCAACTGCATTTGCAAAGTGCACAGTCTATTTGCCTTTAGTAAATCCCCCCCATTGCTAATATTTACAATGTCAGCTCTGAGCAGCATTAGCAAGCAATGGGGTCCATGTATGCTAGACAGTGGTTCTTAACCACTTCCCGACCGGCCGTTGCATATAAACGGCCGGACGGTGGCACTGCAGGGTCGGGTGGCCGTTTATAAACGGCCTCCCCGCACCCTGCTTGTGCGCGCTCCCTGGGAGCGCGCAGCACCGCGATCCAGTGCCCGCTGTGTCCTACGGACACAGTGAAACACCGATCGTTGGACGGGACCTCTGTACGAGGTCCCGATCATATGATCACTGATTGGCCGATCAGTGATCACATGCAAAGTAGCAAGCAAGATGTCACTTGTGACATCATTGCTTACTACGTGTGAAATCTGTGAATGATCACAGAGGTCACATGGTACAAGGCTATTCACAAAAGCCTTGTACCATGTGACAAGCTGTTACCAATCACAGCTCACTCAGTACTTCTCAATGAGTGCAAGAATGCACACAGAGAGAAAGAGAAATGATTGCTTTTACATCCTATATGGGTGTAAAAGCAAGCAGTGTTAAAAAAAAAAAAAAAATCTTCATCACCCCCCACAAAGTAGTACAGTGTCACCATGGTGACACTGTACTGCTAGGGTGACAGTATGTAAAAAAAAAAAAAATAAAAATAAAAAATAATATAAAAAAAAATATAAAAATGTAAAAAAAAAAATGTTTAAAAATTATAAATTTTTGGTTATAAACTAATTTGGATTTTTTTTTTTTACTAAAAAGATAACGGAATAAATTTTGGCTAAGATTTATGATGAAATATTATTTATTTGCAAAATTTTATTAAAAAAAAACACTTTTTTTCAAAATTTTTGGACATTTCATTTACATAGCAAAAAAAATACAAATCCCAGTGGTGAATAAATACCACCAAAATAAAGCTTTATCTGTCTCAAAAAAATGGTAAAAAAATTCATTTGGGTACAGTATTGCATGACCGCGCAATTGTCATTCAAAGTGTGATAGCGCTAAAAGCTGAAAATTGCCCTGGTCAGGAAGGGGGTGAAAGTGTCCGGTCTGGAAGTGGTTAACCTGTGGAAACTCAAGACCCACGTTTATATTTGGTCATTAAGTCGTGACACAAAAATAATTTAATTTCCAAAACAACTTGTGCAATATTCTACAATGCACACAATTTTACATAATAAACACTTTTTTAGACTTTTAAAATAAATATTTTAAGCATACGTAAAATAACAAATATCCACAAATACCCCCTAACTTTAAGCAATGTCCCCTCTACCTCACGCTAAGAACCCATTAACCGGAGTCCTCTACCTCTCACTCTCTCAAAGGCACACTAAGTTAAGTGTAATGGCCCGGGTTCACAAATATGCGGTGCGGTACATCGCATGTAATTCGCACAGGAACCGCACCGCATTCCTGTGCAAATCCCGTGATTTGTGTGAGGTGCGATTGGGGGCCATACATTTTGCATGGCTCTAATCGCACCGCACCAAAAAAGGTGCAGGACTCCGCACTAGAATCAGATCGCATGGGTATTCACACCTATGCGATCCGATTCTGCACATCTCACCGCGTTTTGCGGAACGCTTTTGGGGTGTTAACTTAACATACACACCCGCAGCCGTTCATATAAACGGGGTGCGATTCTGATGCAGTGCGGAATTTGCACAGAAAACGCTGCAAATTCTGCACCCCATCAGTGTGAACCCGGGCTTAATGTCTTCAGCGGCTTTTTAAATAACCTATATAGTTTGTGCAATATATGAATGAGGGTTTTCAGTAACCCCCCCCCCATTTCTTGCACTCCTCTATCCCCCCCTTCCATGCCCTGCTTTAGCCCACCCTTTGATGCCCCCCTTCCTTTCCCCTTTTATGCTCTTTCCTTATCCCCCTTTAACACCCACTTTGACATCCTTTCATGGTTTCCTTCAGTCCTCCCCTTTCATGCACACTTTCAGTCCCCCCCCCCCCCCCATCACCTTTCTGTTTTCACTCCTTTCAAAATGCACTCTACATCAGCCTTCCACAACCCAGGAAAAGTACCTAGCGGAGTCATTCCCTGGCATCCAGTGATGCTTTTCTTTCCTCATGAGCGGCTGGCTGGAAGTGTAGTTATATGTCACATCCTCCCAGCGCTGCCGCAGGAGAAGGAGGAATGAGCGCGAGGGCAGTGAGACTGCTTTGTAAATGCACTGTGCGCACCACCTTAGTAAAGACCGGCTGGCTGCAATAAAACAAACATTAAGGCCTGTCGCAGTTGCGGTCCTGGCCATCTTAACATTTATATTAGTGCAGCCGTTGGTTTTCATTAAGCTATGTTGTCAGGGGACCGGACATTTATTGGGGCATTAAAGAGGCCTGGGGGGCACTTGCCCCGTGGCCCAGTCTGCCCCTGGTCTTGACCCACTTTTGGGTCACAATCGATTAGTTGAGAAACATGATGCTAGACCAGCCTCTCTCAATCAGGGTGCCCAGGTACCCTGGGGTGCCTTGAGGTTTCTTCAGGGGTGCCTTGGAAAAATGTCTAAAAATTGCCAAAAACTTGTATACAAGCCAGCGGATGAAACAAGCCTGCATTTTACTTACACAAAGCCACAGTTTTTCATTGTGCACCATTATGACCTTCTAGCCGCCAGTCTCCTGACAACCAATGACATCATCAGTTGATCAAGAGGATGTCAGTTGCCTGCACAGCATCCTAGTTTGACCCTCCCCTGCCCCTCTCCATCAGTGCTGGGGTCACATTAGCTCTGTGATGGAGAAAAACTGAGGGAGAGGAGAAACACTGGAATACTAGTCAGTTCCAGTGTGCAGAAGTGTATTTGCTTTGGAAGAATAAATCACCTCTAACGTTGGCTGACCTACATGTGTGGATGTTGCTGCGTTATATAAAACTATTAGAATATTTTTTCACATTTTAGAATGGGGTGCCCTTTTAAAATGATGGACAGTCTTGAGGTAACCTATTATAGAATGGGTGCCTCAAGACTGTCCATAATTTTAAAGGGTGCCTTGACTGAAAAAAGGTTGCAAAACGTGGTGTTAGACACATAAAAATGTTATAATAACAAGAGGTTCAGTGAGCGCTAACCGATACAGCAGCTGATACACTAAAAAGTAAAACCATAGAACCTTAAAAATAACATAAACATAAATAGTGCAGCGCTAGAAATGATATATATAACTGCACCAATAAAAAATAAAACAAATGGTGCAAAGTTATTTAGATATTATCAAATGGTATAGGCCACATGATATGTGTATATAATTCCCAACAAAGATGCAGTAATGGCGTACATCACACACTTTCACTTCACTATATAAATGCTAGTCCAGTGAATATCTAGTGGTGAAAAAGCCACGGATGAATTGAGAATAGCTTGATAAGATCCCCATGATAAATATAGTCCGGCGTCGTGTAGAAAAAATGAGTAAATTGCACACTCACCAGAGGCACAATTTAATTGCGCATTTGTGTCATATACACAAAAGGTCCCTCCAGCTATGGAGAGAATGAAGCTCGGAATGGATGACTCCGTGATGGGGGGTACCGCATCTGGGGGTCCCTAAAGTAGACCTGGCTCCAAACGGGATCAGCTGAATGTGACTCTGGGCCCTGGGATAATCACCTTGTGGTTACCACAGATGTTTACATGTGTACGACATGAAATGCGGTCCTAATGCAGGACCTTGGATGTAGATTTTTCTAGCTTTGGTTTACGTAGCTTTACACTGCACCCCAAAACCGACCTGTATGCATGAGCCCATTGGATACAATAGTACTGCATTCAGATCTGTACAAATTACAGATCTGAACGCAGATACCTGTACACAAATGCACTGTGTGCATAAGAGCAATATAGGTGCTGCCACTGCTTTTACCCTTCAAGCAGTGCTAGTTGCTCAGCTGCCCTACGGAAACACTGACCCAGAACAAGCAGGTCAAAAAGTCTTAGTGATGTCAGAGCTTCTGATCTGCATACTGCTTTTTAGGTAACTAAGAAAGAACTCACCCCCTTGGTCTCTGCCCGAATTACACACCTACTGAGCGGCATATCAGATTGGATGTTGCTCCACTTCCTTAAACTGAATCTCTCCAAAACCGAGTTTCTTGTCTTCCCCCCAACCCGAACCCCACCCCCCATCACATCCAACAACACCAATATCAAACCCGCCCTGCAGGCCAGAGTACTTCGTGTCATTCTGGACTCCAACCTATCCTTCCAGCCCCAAGTCCAATCTTTAACAAACTCATGCAGACTCCACCTCCGCAACATCGCCAAAATCCGCACGTTCCTAACCCCAGAAACCACTAAACAGCTCATCCACTCCCTCATCATATCACGACTCGACTACTGCAACTCCCTCCTCACTGGCCTGCCTCGCCGCTGGTTATCCCCGCTTCAGTCGATCCTGAATACGGCTACCAGACTCATCCACCTTTCCAACCGCTCCATCTCCGCCACCCCCCTCTGCCAATCCCTCCACTGGCTTCCGATTGCACAACGGATCAAATTCAAAATCCTAACACTGACGTACAAAGCCGTCCACCATACTGCCCCGAACTAATCATCACTGACCTAATATCCAAGTACCACCCACACGCACACTCCGCTCCTCACAAGACCTCCTCCTCTCTAGTTCCCTGGTCTCCTCCTCCCATGCCCGCCTCCAGGACTTCTCCAGGGTGTCACCTATCCTCTGGAACTCCCTGCCCAAACCCATCAGATTATCACCTACTCTCCTCTCCTTTAGGCGCACCCTGAAAACCCATCTCTTCAGGGAAGCCTACCCCCTGCTAACTTGACCGACCTCCTCCACTCTTCCTACCACTCCATCCCCCACAGCTATCTCCTCCTGTACCACTATCCCGTTCCTTCTAGATTGTAAGCTCGAAAGAGCAGGGCCCTCGATCCCCTCATGTTTTGCATTGTATTGGTATTGTTCTGTCACATGTTCTGTCCCCCTTTGTAATGTACAGCGCTGAGCGAACTATTGGCGCTTTATAAATACTGTATAATAATAATAAAAAAAAGAACTGATACGAATGGGTCATCGTGATGAGTAGGTAACGGACAGCTGAAGGACAGGGGCTGCAGCCCTTTACCATTCTATCCCAAACTAATTATAAACATCTGGCTGAAATTCCATTTTAAAGTGCTACACACCAGTGTCTTTCCTCTTCTCGTAGTAGGTGTACACCGCTCCAGCCGTGCAGTTCTTTCCATGTCTTGTCATCTTCAGTCAAAGAAGAAGCAACTATAGAAATACAAAAGCAGGGTGTCAGTTTACTGCATTCTTCAAGAAATACCCATAGGGAAATGAAATAAATATGAACAGACTCGCCACAAAAGAAACATACACCGCCATGGTAAATCATCCTTTTGAACAGACAGTTGCCTGGCTGTCTCTGCTTTCAATACTTTTGAGTCACTTACATGGAACAAGCATGTAGCAAGTAAAAGTCTTAACTGAATACTTGTTCTGAAACTTTACAGCACGAGAACCAAGCAGCTAACATTTTCAGCAAGAAAGGTAAACAAAGCAGTCCCCAGAGTTTCTTGTAACAAAATTGCTTGAGGTGATTGTAGCCGTATTATTATTATACAGTATTTAAGGTTTGCTCAGCGCTGTACATTATAGCGGGGGACAGAACATGAGACAATACAGTAACAATACAATACACGAGGGGGTCAAGGGCCCTGCTCTTTCGAGCTTACAATCTAGGAGTGCACTTGCGACAGAAACAATTGAGTGCTGTCCGTGATACTTTTTTTATATACACTAACAAACAATTTTAATGACAAGCTTTCGGGGAGTGTCCCCTTCTTCAGGTAAAAGCAGTACTGATCACAAAGGGTTAGAAGAGATGTTTTGGAGTTGGAAGGAAAAAAAAAGAAAAAGTAAAAAAAAAAAAAAAAAAGGAGTACAGATAAGATAAGACACAGCAAAAGCAAAGTCTGGGGAGGGGGGAGACTACACTCACAATCGGGGACTTCTACATGCTGCCCAAAATCCACAAGCCACGAAATCCAGGCAGACCCATCATAACAGGTATGAATACACTCACCGAACAAATTTCAGGCTTTGTAGAAAAAAAATGTTAAAACCGTTAGTCAAGAATACTGATAGCTTCCTGCAAGACACAACTGACTTTCTAAACAAGATCAACAACATACAGCAATTACCATCTAATACACTTCTAGTGACTATGGATGTAGTATCCCTGTATAGCAGTGGTTCTCAACCTGTGGGTCGCACGACCCTTTCACAGGGGTCCCTTAAGACCATCAGAAAACACATATTTCCGATGTGTAAAGAGCAGCTACTGTGTAGAAAGCAGCTGCTGTGTTGAAAGCAGCAGTATTGGAGGGAAAACGTCACTCATGAATTATAATTACGGGGTAAATAATTTTATGGTTGGGGGTCACCACAACATGAGGGACTGTATTAAAGGGTCACGGCATTAAGAAGGTTGAGAACCACTGCTGTATAGTAATATCCCTCACAAGGATGGATTAGCTGCATATCACAGATCCTAATCATCCTCACCAAACCACAAATACAATTGTTTTTGTAACAAATTTAAAGAATTACTACAGTACAGCATTTCCTTTTCTATTTCCGTCCTGACACCTCTGCAGGGATCTCCAGTGTTCCCACCGAATACAGTGCTCTTCAAACTGGTTAAAGTGGAACGTTACCCATAACAACTTGATAAAAAAAAAAAAAAAAAAATGTTCTTTAGCAAGAACATACATTTCACATTGATAAATATGCTACCAAAATGAGCGTGTGCTGTAAATTGCCTACAGCACTGTTCCTGTATCTTCTTGCTGGAAACTGCCATTTAGCTGAAGCCCAAATCCCCGAGCAGCAGTAAATCTTTAGGCTGTCAGCAGATCGGCCTCTACAGTTTCAGCAGTGTGCCGAAAAATAGAGAGCAACTGAGCATGTGCAGAGCAAGGTGAGACAGTGTATTACTAAATTTTAAAGACACTTATTTTTTATTGTTTTTCATACTATAGCTGCACAAGGGGCCAGCCTGATGTGATCTAGCAGGATTTAATTTCCTGACTAAAAGACGTTTTTTACAGCGGCTGTTTTTGGCTTTTGACGGTTTTTTCTACAGCCAGTATACTCCCCAGCATCTTATCCTATGTGTCCATGCACACAGACTGTAATCAGCGGTTCTTGGCAGGGGCGTTTTTTGGCTGGGAAAAAAAAACTCAGAACAAGTGGGTTTCTAGAGGAGTTTTTTAGCTGTAAAATGCAGCAAACCAGCAGTTTTAACTTTTTTATAAAAAAAAAAAAAAAAAAAAAAAAAAAAAAAAAAAAAAAAAACACACGCTAAAAACCGCAAACACGGAAAAACACTAATGCAAAGAATGCTGAAAAGCTTGCAGTTTTAGTGTGACTTTACACAGCTAATACAACCAGCATCATTAAAACGCCCCGTGTGGATGGAGCCGAATGACAGATGTTCATCTGTCTTTAGACCATTAGGCCACTGACCACAGGGTCATCAATAGAAGTAAATATTTATAGTAGGAACATGCAGCCAAGTTTAGCTGAGTTTACAAACCATGTTCTATACAATGACTGTGAATTGCGGTGGCAATTTACACAGTGCTGTACACATACAGTTGCAAGAAAAAGTATGTGAACCCCTTGGGATTACGTGGAGTTTTGCATGAATTGGGCATAAAATGTGCTCTGAACGTCATCTAAGTCACAACAATAGAAGAACACAGTCTGCTGAACATAATACTACACAAACATTAGATGTTGCCATGGTTTAATTGCACATTCTGCGCTGTGCTCTTGCAGTCATTTTTACAGAACGACCATGCCTAGGGAGAGTAGCAACAGTGCTAAACTTTCTCCATTTGTAGACAGTCTGTCTTACCGTGGACACATGAACATCAAGGCTTTTGGAGATACTTTTGTAACCCTTTCCAGCTTCATGCAAGTCAACAATTCTTGATCGTAGGTCTTCTGAGAGCTCTTTTCTGCGAGGCATGGTTGACATCAGACAGTGCTTCTTGAAACCAGTAAACCCAAAACAGGTGTGTGTTTTTTAAGGGCAGGACAGCTGTCAGCAACACATCCAATATCATTACACTGATTGGAGTCAAGGTTAGCTCACTCCTGGCTCCAATTAGCTCTGGGAGAAGTCATTAAGCTAGGGCCTCACATACTTTTTCCTCCCTGCACTGTGAATGTTTACATGTTATGTGCAATTAAACCATGGCAACATCTAATGTTTGTGTAGTATTATGTTCAGCAGACTGTGTTCTTCTATTGTTGTGACTTAGATGACGTTCAGAGCACATTTTATGCCCAATTCATGCAAAACTCCACGTAATCCCAAGGGGCTCACATACTTTTTCTTGCAACTGTAATACGCACATCAATTTATATATTACATTCACATCAGTCCCTAACCCTCAGCCTGGGGTCACTGAAGCAGTGCGATCTGATTTGGCACATTGCACTGCGTTTTGCGAACCGATTTCGGTGTTTTGTTAACTTAACATACACACCTGCAGCGGTTCACATGGATGGGGTGAGAGTATGATGTGGTGCGGAATTTGCACAGAGAACGGTGCGACTTCCGCACCACATCATACTCGCACCCCATTCATGTGAACCGCTGCAGGTGTGTATGTTAACAAAACCCCGAAATCGGTTCGCAAAATGCGGTGCGATGTGCCAAATCAGATCGCATGAGTGTGAATACCCATGTGATCTGATTCTAGTGTGGACAAGAAAAAAGGGTCCCTCTTTTGGTGCGGATGTGGTGTGATTTGAGCCATACAAAATGTATGTGATTTGCACAGGAATATGGTGCGGTTTGTGTGTGAATCACATGCAATATGCTGCACCGCAGAAGTGTGAACCCGAGCTCAAGGAGCGTACAGGTCCCTAACTCACATTCATAGAGTACATGTTGGTATGGTTTTAACTAGTGCCATCATCCTCAAATTATAGAATAAAGAACAGACTCTCTTTTTTGGGGGGATTTTCAAGACAAATATAAACACAAATTGTAAAAATAATAAGACAGATTTTACTGTACAAAAAATTCTAAAAATCATACAACAAAAACTGGGCGATCTAATATTTTTACATCAGTCGTAGATCACATTTAGTAAGATTTTGGAAACAGACATCAAGACATCAGTAATAGGGCAACTGATGCGTTTCGATACAAACATAGAATCTTTTCCTCAGAGGTGCCTAGATACAAAGCAAGATACCCTGTATAAAGTGACTAAGGAAGGAAAACCTCCATAATTAAAACCAGAAAGTATTTGCTGTTCAACATATCCAAGGATCTCCTAGATGGGACTAAGGAAGGTATATAGTACTCCAGGCCTCTCCCAGAGGTGGCCGGAAGGGGCACCACAGGGGCTTAGCAGAAAAAGATTTTATGTCCTGCAATGTTTCTTAGCAGAAATATAGATGTAAAAATGGAAGCCCAGACTAGGATCCCAATGGATTTAACCTCTTGGCCCTTTAAGGGGTTTGTGACAGCGAAAGGTGGAGCAGGGTTTAGGGTCAAGTGACTGCCTTGATTGACTGCCACAAGTGGTCACATGATCAGAAAGGTCCTGACAGCAAGTAGTGATCGGGACCTTTCCGTGAGGCGCTGGTAAATGTGCCGGGAGCACGCAGAAAAGGCATATGTGGCCTCCACTATAAATGACTGATGTCCTGTGGGGGATGGTTCGGCCTGTCCGGTATTGAAACAGCTGCCTAACTCACTTTCATACATACACATACTAGGGCCGATTTAGACCGGAGCCATTTAACCTACCAGCATGTCTTTGGAGTGTGGGAGGAAACCGGAGTACCCAGAGGAAACCCACGAAGGCACAGGGAGAACATGTCAACTCCAGGCAGGTGGTGCCGTGGTTGGGATTTGAACCAATGACCCTAGTGCTGCCAGGCAGAAATGCTAACCATTTAGCCACTGTGCTGTCTCACATGGTGCTCCTATAACAATGAGGTTGATTTAGGCGAGGTTTACACCTATGCAGTTTATGTTTGATCCGTTTTGCGTTTTTGATGTATTTTGCGGGCAGATTAAAATGCAAAACGCATCAAAATCGCACTACATGCTTTTCTGCAGCGGTCCCATTGAAGTCTATAGAAAAAAAAAAAGCAACATTTTGCGTTTAAAAAAGTCCCTGACCTTTTCCAAAAAATGCACCGGGTGAAAACGCGGACAT